AAGAGAAGTCTTATTGTTCTCGAGCCCTGATACGCTGAGCACGAAATTTTCAAGTAACCTATTTAAGTGTGCATTTGAACATTTTTTGAATAGTGATTTTATTTATCAGATTGATTGATTTTTTTCTCATTACCTACGGGTGTCAAATAATTTTTATTGGATGTTATTCTAATTATTGAAATAATATTGAAATGCGTCTCGCGTTGGTAAACCTGTCGAGTGTTTTCTCTCTCTCAGTTCATGGTCCTACCTATACCTTTCCCATGAGATGCTCACTGACATTCGAATCACGCGCCTGCGCGTGAGGGGGTAATTGCCCTGAAACTCATAATTTTCCGAATCATTTCTTCAAATAACTTTCTTATGAAATCTGAAAAAAATCTGAAACTTATACGTGTTTTCAAAAAAGATTTGATTTATCACCCACTTATTTTTCTTCAATAGTTCATTATTTTTTTAGTGTCATGGAAGTTTCCCTGATTGAGAGTGGGGTAACTTCGGAGGTTATAACTGGAGAAGTTACAAAAACATCCAAATTTCGTTATTTTTTTTCTTGAAACTCTGATGTGAAAAAAATGTGCAAGAATTCTCAGTGATGCAGCATACTTAGAAATTTCTCCCATGAATTTTCCCATTTTTTTTCATTATTTTGACTTTTAACCGAAACACCCTTAACTACATGGTCAGTTTACTTCATGAAATAAACAACTGACCGACGCAAGTCAAAAATGACCGTCATTTTACATGACAAAAGAAGCTTCTCTGATTAGGAGACTGCTTTACCCCCGGAGTGTATCACTGATGTGCAACAATCGATTACTTTTGAATGATTACATTTGTGTTTATTTTGTTAATTGACTTACATTGTTGTGAACAACAGTATTGAGTTTTTTATGTAATAATAACCTGATGAGGATTTTTTGTCTCATAATATGGGGAAGTGTGTTGTTTCTGAGTTTAATTTTAATATTTCTAACCTCGTGAAATAAATATGTCAGACGCTTTTGAAGAAATTCAAGCTATTAAGATCAAACGAAATAGTTTACGTGAAAAATTACAAAAGAGAAAACGAGAGAGGAATGAATTGTTGACTTTGACTGCTCTACCGACTTCTACGACCAGCGGATTGGTTACTGATACTGTCAGAACAAGTGGTAAGTGTTTTTGTTTATTCTTCACTCCTTATTTATTCATTGCATTCATTGATCACAATTTGTCTTCTATGTCACAGAATCCAACACTCCGTTATCAGTTCACTCGAAATATAGTGAATATGAGAGGGATATTTTGGGTATTCTACATGAAAGTCTTCCTGACACTCCAATCACATCAGCTGACCTCAGTGTTCAATTGAGAAAGAATCTGAGTGCTGATGTGCTCCACAGTGATGTCAAAACAATTCTGGAGAAATTGGCCGCTCAAGATGTTCTTAAGTAAGTTAACAATTACCATGATTTCGTGTTTTACCCAATCCAATTGTGGAATATTAAATTAACTTTTGAGGTTTTTTAAATACACAATTATTTAATTAATGATGAGTGACTTGACGAGAGAAGGTCGGAATATATTTTCTTTTGGCAAATTCATTAACTTCAAAAGTGATCTTATGACATTCTTTCCTAGAATCATTCGGTTGAGTAATAAAGTAATTTGGAGTTAAATGCACAGCTGACAAGAATATCAACTTTGAGTCATGAAATTTTTTTATTCCACTCGATGATTTATCAATCATTCAGAATCAGAATATGACTGTCGTATTGAAGTGGTTCAATAGACGACTTATGTGAAAAAAATTTGCAATTTTCTGATGAAAGTTGCCAAAAAACAAGAGTAAAATTTACTTCTTGTTTCAAAACTTTTTAACTTCATTTTATTCTTTCATAATGCCACTCCATATTTTTTTCCAACTGATATTTACATAAAGCATTTAACCATTCTTGCTGAGTTCATAAACCTAAAAGACTTATTAAACGGTTTATGAAATTAAAAACTTTATACAACTGTTTGCCCATAATTAAATTAAATTTAAACTGCGTCTGAATTGAGAATTAGATTTGCATCCATGGGTGATAATAAAAACCATCTCTATATGACTCTATCACTTTAGAATGATTTAATCGATAGTTTACATCGAAATTAATTAATTTTCGTTGCTCTATATTTTTGTATAATTGATTTCAATCGATTATTATATTTCATCGGAATAAAAAAATCATGTTGTTCACAATTCACAATAGCAATACTTGGCATTGTTTATGCTTATGTCCTTATACTCTCACTGTCTGAATCAGATTTCATTATAAACACCCAGCTGTAAGGCTATTTGGATAAATTCAGTAGCGAAGTGGTCATACGGTTCAAGTCGATTTTGACTATTCTTGAGTTTTCAATGAATATCTTGCAATCTAAGGCAGATAGCAACATTTCTCTCATGACCTTTTCGGTAGAGCACATTGAGAGCTTCAAAAAAGATATGTTTGAAACGCAATTAAAATTCCAGAACATTCTGGTCGACTAGCTCGGCCTACTTCGAAAATCTCCGGGACCCTTCGGGTCATCAGTCACCAGTGACCGAAACACGCGCGAATCATTTAGGCTTAGCGTCTCACCGTACGAGTCTATCTCGAGCAAATCACCTGTAGAAGTCTGACATCGCACCTCACCGAGTACAGTAACTTCTTGAACCTCGCCTAGCTCACTAGTAACCAAGTACATCACCAGTCTTTGTAAGATCAACGTTTCGTTCAGTACATCACCACAATAATTAGTTAAACTTCCACTAAATTCAGTGATTCAACCTTATTAAAATTACAGACTATCAACAGTGACAATTCACCAAAGAGTGCATAAATTATTAACGACGTGGTTCGATCCCACTAATAAACGGGAATTTTATAATTTGTGTCACCATAATTTTTTTCCACCATTTCCCTCCACATTTTCTCCCACATCCACCCCAATTCCAGTTCCTCACCAAACAAGATATACACGATAATTTCGCTATCTCCCTTAGATTTTGATATATTCCTGGAAAACTCAGCTAAGAGCTAAATCGACTTAAACCGTTTGACCACTTCGCTACTGAATTATCATCGTTGCTGTTACTCATATATATTTTTATCTCCATAATGAGACTAGAATAGCAGCAATTATTTTACAAATTATTTCGACCGTTTCATTTGCTCTTTCTCGCATCAAAGAAGCTTTGAAATAAGCCGCACGGATGAGTCCCATGTAAACTCGTGTGACAGCAAATTTTATTAATTCATTTCACTTCATGGGGCGTGAGGCCGTCTATACACCTCACAATAATTATTACTCATTGAGGATTATTGATTATTTTAGGCTGAAAGAAGTGACCGAGGACGGTGTTCTGGGTTACATAGTCCTCTCTATCGTTGAACCTCCAACTAAAACCGAAGAAACCCACCCGAATGACACCCCAGACACTGGCTCCCATGAGAAAACCGATGACGATGAACCTGAAGATGAGGATGTTGATGGGCCAGCTGAGAAGCATCCCAAACAGGAGCAGAAAAACGCCGAGGACATCATGTCTCTTATCCTCATGCCGACAATCAGGGAAAAGGAAAGTAAAAAAGTTGGAGAGCAAATTCTGGATCTTTTATCTAAACAAACGTCCAAAGAAAAGTCACTGGCAGAGAGGTTTAGGTCTCAGGGAGGGGCTCAGGTGATGGAGTTCTGTCCACATGGTACGAGAGTCGACTGCACAAAGTTGAATGGTGGGACAACAGCTAAATGTAAAAAGCTACACTTCAAAAAAATTATTCAAGGACACACGGATGAATCTTTGGGGGACTGCAGCTTCTTGAATACTTGTTTTCATATGGATACCTGCAAGTGAGTGAAAGCAACATTGACGATTAATCATTAGATGAGTTTCAGTTGATTGTCATATCGTTGTGATTATGTCATCTCCGAGAAGAACAGATTTAGGATAGTATTTGAAGAGGATTCTCGTGGAAAACTTGACGAATTCGAAGACGGGCCTCTCGGTATATTTTCAAAATATTACATTATATTAATCCGATAAAATTTTTCGTCTCCGATTTTTATTCTTTGCTATTTTTTTAATGCATTCTGTCAAAATGTGAGGGTAAAAATTGAATTGATGGGTATTCTTTCATTATTTGAAATTTTCATTTTCTTGCTGATCACGTATCTGTTCTTTTTTTCACTTTCTTCCATTGAAATTAGATCATAAAAAGGGAACATTGATATTTTTTCGTCATAAAAAAAAATCAGTTTTGAAATTTTTCAGAAAAATTAAAAATCGTTTCCTTTCATTTTCTTGCTGATCATCTTTCCCTGGAAAATGAAATTTTTCGTTTTCATGATCTGATTTCATTGAGAGGAATTATTATATTATACTGATATTATTTAACATAAATATCTCTTCATTTGAAAATGAGAAAAACTGTTTCCACAATTTGTATACTACAATGGGAATAGAATCCAATAAATTTAATTTAATCTAACCGCAAAGAAAAATTGGAAAGAAAATAATAAAATAAATGAATATAATATATAATCTAGCGAAGGGTGCGAAGCGCTAGTTGTTCAAGAATTTACTAATTCCCAAGTATTTAGAAACTTTTAATTTCTTGTGTTGACATCTTCGATTTAATTTTTCGAGTTTATAGTCCGCCATTTTTTTCATCATCGGAAGAATTTCATAAATTTTTTTCAAGAACGACAAAATCTGTTTTGTAAGAAAATGGATAGGCAATTATTTATTCTTTATGCTTCACCTTCAAATTTTATGTCCTTTCTTTCAGATATGTACATTACGAAGTCGATGGTTCGACAGCACTCTCGAAAGAGTCCTCAACCGACTCGGAAAACGGGAATCCTCCAAGCACAACGACGAAAGCCTCAGACCCTCAGGGATCAGTATCATCTCCAGGATCAGGCACAGAACTGACTCTCTACCCTCCCCAATGGATCCAATGTGACCTGAGATATCTAGACATGACGGTTTTAGGTAAATTCGCTGTGATAATGGCGGATCCGCCTTGGGACATTCACATGGAGTTGCCTTATGGTACAATGTCTGATGACGAAATGCGTCAGTTGGGGATCCCAGCTCTTCAGGATGAGGGTTTGCTCTTCCTCTGGGTGACGGGTAGAGCCATGGAACTCGGCAGGGAGTGCCTCCAGCTCTGGGGGTACGAGAGAGTCGACGAAATCATCTGGGTGAAGACGAACCAGCTCCAAAGGATTATCAGGACAGGGAGGACGGGACACTGGCTCAACCATGGCAAGGAACACTGTCTCGTCGGGATGAAAGGCAACCCCAGGATCAACAGGGGCCTCGACTCCGATGTTATAGTTGCTGAGGTACGTGCGACGAGCCACAAACCTGACGAAATTTATGGTATCATCGAGAGAATGAGCCCCAGCACCAGGAAAATCGAATTATTTGGAAGACCACACAATGTTCAACCTAATTGGATAACGTTGGGTAATCAGGTCGATGGAGTACATCTCATTGATCCAGTCCTCATAAAAGCCTTCAGGAAACATTATCCAGATGGCAACTCAATGAAACCCAATAAGTCTTGAGAATATTCCAGTAAAATAGTCCCTTCAATGAATTTGTTTTTTGAAAATTTATATTTTTTGACTTTTTTAATGTAAAAAAATTCCAATTCTATTTGACTGCAATTAAGCACAGTTTGTTGCATACAACACAATTATTAATAATCGATTGGATGACCATTGATTGTTGATATTATTGAATATCACTGAACATTTTGTCCATAGTTGAGACAAAATTTCTATCCAATTTTAATGTATTTTTTTTTACATTTATTCAAGGGCTCATAAGAAAATAAGTTCAATTACACGAAAATAACATTTTAAAAATGTTTCACCATCTCTAACACATAATACTTTTTAAATTGATAGACTTTAATTGTGTTATATTCAACTGAACCCATTTCATCGCAGGAACTACCCACTCAAATGTTCTCAAATTCTGCTCTGTTGATTTACTAATAAATTGTACAAAAATTTTTACTCCAATTGACTGATAAATTGCAAAAACATTTTTTTCGTAATTATACACCATTCATTATCCCTAATTTGTATAATTAATTATATAAAATTATATAAAACTATTTCTTGACAGAGATCTTCAGATTGGACGTTCCCTAGTAGTTCTCTTGGAAATTTGTTTCTCTCTGAGAACCCGAGAGATAGAAGACTCCGCATTAGCATCTTTATCATTCTTATCGACAGAATTTTTCTTCTTGGAAACTCTTGGAGCTCGATGGATCTTTTCAAAAGCGTCCATCCAGTGTCTTTTATCATGCTCATCCCTCGCGACGAATGAACGCTCCCCAATTTTAAAGGCACACACATTCCCTTCGCAATCAGGATCGAGTTTTAATTGAGCTTTTGGAATGACTAATTGTGAGAGATTATAATTCTTCACTCTGGATCTTAAAACTCGACGAGTTAAGGCTAGACACGTATCGAATAAGAAGCAATGGAATTTCACCCCCCTTGAGTCCTTCAGCTGTCCCTCTGTAATCAACTCCGCAGCTGCTATTATACACCCTTCAGGATCATACTCATCTTTCACGTTAATTTTCGACCTTGCCAGCTCGCACTCGGCATCGCCCATAGCTCTATCAATTTTCTCCAGTAATTGTGAAAGTTGAATTTTCGCTTCGTCTAACAAGCAACGATCCTCATGCCCCGTTGGTGTTCTCTTCAATATTTCGTTCACCAGGAGAGGATATTTAACAACTCGAGATCTGGCAGCATCAAGATACGTCCACAGATCAACAGCCCTTGGGGATTCCATTTTTTTCTTCAAAAACTCCTGGAATTTCTTACTCCTCAGACGTTTTTCATCGAGAATGTGTCTGGCCAGAATCTGGGACCGACATTTTTCCACGTAGGGATCTATTAATGTTGGCAACCACTCGAGCAATGTGGGACCGATAATGTCAGTGAAGCCAGAGGAGTCCCTCAGTTCTATCAGATCGTCTCGTAGCTTGCTGTGAACGTGGAGGAGCATGTCAAGGTCTCCGAATAGGATACGAAGCTCCGAGGGGGTGAATATGTCGGTCAGTTGGAGGGGCTCGTAGTAGGTCTCCTTCAGGGTGGTTAGATCGTTCAGGAGAACGTTCTCACCGCAATACAGCTCGTAAATGGCTTCTTGACGTTTCACCTCGGTTCTTCCTATATGACTGGGCTTTGGGGATGCTTCGCAGTAGCCGGCAACATCTGTCAACCAACTGCGGATTATTAAGTTGCCTGCACGTTCACATCCACTTCTCGTTCTGCGATGGGAATAAAAAATGTATTAGGTTTCTGGATAAACTTTAGTCTTAGAACTATTGTGATTTTTTTTTATATTTCACATTTCGCTTAAATGTCAATATATTCGCATTAAAGTGCTACAGTTTGAATGTTTAGTTGACACTGATTTTCTTACTCAATTCAGTATATTGATAAAGAATCACACCACCACATTTCTGATAAAAATCTCTGATAAATATCCAACTTATTCGCAGGGAATTTCAAGAGATTTCGCCACTGAAAAATCAGTTACTCTTGAAAAAATTCATAGAAAATTTCAATTTATCTTTGAGATAATGATTCAAATACTTAAAAAATATGAAGATTCAACATACCATTTTTAAAAATTCTCAATTGATTAATAAATCACTCTTATGCTCTGTTCAATTCTCAAAATCAATTTGAAAATTTACGATATCATTGAACGACTCCACATTCTTCAAATATGTATGAAAGTCAACAGATTTTACTGAAAATGAACATTAGTAGGTGACTGTCAATTAAATTTCAATAAATATGTAAGAGTTGAGTGAAATTGTAAAACAACATAAGTCAAGTTAGCTTCAAGATAAGTTTTTGATGAATATCTTCATGTCTATGGGAGACAACGGCATGTTTTATCATTTACATCACATTTCCTCGAAAAAAAAAAATGACATATTATACGAAATGAAGTCCTTTCATTCTTTACATGTTTGATATTTTGCATTAAGATTTTATCTATAGGAATTGTACCTCTCATATTCAAATTATATATACCTATGCAATTCTACTAAATTGAACTGTAATAATCTATCTAATTTTACATTGCGCAATCTGAATTTCATATTGTACTATTCATGCTTGTAAATATTCTTGCATACTTCGACAGGAATAATTTCAGCACATGAAATTCACCAACAAAATCGACACATCCCGGCCTGAGTTTTATGGATTGAGAGTACTAATGAAAATAATAATTTTCCGTTCAGTAGAATGAATAATTATTGAACAGTTTTGACGGGAAAAGATTTTGCCAATGGATTAATTAAAAACAAAATGAAACAACAAAATCCAAAATCCAGAAGAAGACCCAAGGGGAGACTCAGAGGGAGAAAAAGGAAAATGTGATGCTAAATTTCAATCCAATGAAAAAAGAAAAGTGTAATCGGTCTAATCTAATCAATTGAATTATAAGACGAATAAAAAATTATTATTCTCATCAGTACTCCCAATAATAAAAAAACTTAATAAAAAAAAATATTTAACAGAAAATAATTGTTTTGCTTGAATTGCGTCAAACATTCATTTTTCGACTGTTTCATTTTGTGCCACTCTCCCCTATATTTATTTAAAAAATGAATGAAATTCGATAAATCTCCTATGAATAAATTTCGAAAAAAAATTGAAAAAGACCACGTACATACATACATGCAGACATCACCTTAAATAACACACATTTGGACTTTTCTGGCCATATTTAGTTACCCTAACACAAAATTTGACACCTTAAATTGGAACCATTACAACGCTTTCATTCCCAGATATTGAAAAATAAGAAAAAACTCATATTAGAGTTCAATTGACGTATTGTTGAACTATTCGGTTGCTGAGTCGTTTTTTAATCACTCCGAGAAGATCCTTACCTCTTACTTGGCCCAGCATCCACCTCCTCATCGATCATCGATATCGAATTGTTAGGCTGGAATCCAAAAGACCTCTGTAATACATTACTCAATCTGCTAGTCGTTGCAGAGGAAGACAATAGATTTGTAGCGAATTCCGTTATTCTCCGACGTTTTTTGCTCTTCATCATAGTGGAATCCAGGGATATATCCATCGAACTAATACTAATTGCATCACTCTTAGTTCTTTTTCTCGAGGATCTCTGCGAAGTCATTCCAAAACAAATATTAAAACTTCATAATAAGCAAAACTATGAATAATTACTTACGCATAACAATGAATGACGTCCAAGGACATATTAAATCTCAAATTCTTTTTTATTTTCTTACCTGCCAAAACCTCTTTCGAGGTTCCTGAAAGGGCTCGTCCGCATTTTCTTCGAACTCATCAGTCATTTTTTCCCGAAAATTCTCACGAATTATCAAGTGAAAATAAATCCTCGAGGTGATGCCATCATAAACACATCAAAGTCCACAGGTTTTATCGATATCCCATCGATATTGTTTGTACATAAATCCCCAATAATCACTTCTCCACAATATGCAATGAACAATCTTCAGTAAAACGTCGATGATTAACAGATAACTCTCGTAATTCTCCCAATAAACAATATGAATCTTGTAATTTATGATGGGGAGAGAGGAGCAGGTGTCGTTTTTACAGCTTGACTTTTCAAAAACGATTACCGAAGGCCTGGGAATGGGACAACTCTAACCGCCATAACCTAATAAGCGAGAGGCCGGAGGCACTCTACAGTCGCTCAAACTTCAGCCTCTCGACCAATCACAGATGAGAATATCACCGATTGTCACATGAAAACCCATCGCACACGAATTTTCCAAATTGGGGAGTTTTTTCAAAACTAAAACAGATGGCAGTAGGGCGTCACCCACTCCATTTGCTGGAGGCATTGAACAAAGACGGCCAGATACATGCTATCCTCGTCTGATCCATTGAAAGTGGGTGGCCACCTGACGCCATTGGTTCGTGAATTGGCCGAAAAATTCCCTAATTTTCGAATCTACATCCAATTTTCCCATTGGCTCACGGACCCACTGGATGCAATGTTTTGTAATGATATAAACTCCACTGTCAGGGTCAAAATTCACTCGTTAACCTGGCGAAGTGATCTCTATCTGTCATACAGTTTTACCGGGTAAAAGTTCAGTGATGGATTGACATTGATCAATCTGTTACGTCGCCGTAATAACAAATGTTCGCCGCTGGTATCTTATATTTTGTGATGCAACGAGAACAGTCGCACGTCACTTCGCGTTGAGGAAAGACGTGAATTGTTATTCCCAGATGAAGGTATGTGTTGACTCATTCGTTAAGGAAATGTGAGGTTTGTCAGTGGTGAAGATAAATTGTGGGGAGAATAGTTTGGGTGTAGGATCGATATAATTGCGTATTATGATTTATATTGAGTACCAGTCCAGTTTAATGACGTGTTAGAGAGGTTTTTTCAACGTTGCGAGGAGCTGAGAGGGATATTCCTTTGTCATGGCTAAGCAGAGCCCGGGAAAAGTGACGTTGGGGATGATGAAAGGTAAATAAATTTAAAAAATCTATTCTATATTGGATGATTTATAAATTATATTTCTCCACATGTTCAAATATTTTTTGATGATTTATTCTGCTCTAATAGATTATGAATCAATTTGTCATTGGAATAACGTTAATAGTGGCTTTGGACCGTATTCCATCGGCTGGAGAAACAGGAACAATGAATAAAAAACTAAAACTCCACACAGTATGAGTATGAAGCAAAATTGCACGACGTTTCGAGTACTCAATTTATTTATGAATCTAGATCTGAAAAACCAAAAACAAATAAAAATATTGTAGAACAAATGTGTAAGGAATTCAGAGAGTAACTTTGACAAACCGTATCTTTTTTCTTCAGCAGCATTTTTATTTATTTTTGTATGTTTTAAAGTTGGACTCATAAAAAGAATCCTTGAGCACTCGAAACGTCGTGCAATTCACTTCATACTTTGTGGAGTTTTGGTTCGTTATTCATGAAGCCGAAACTAATGAAAAATGCAATTAGGCTCAATGTAAATGATTTTTCAATCCTTATACACTTAAAAACCCCCTAAATTGACTCTTTCTTTGGCCAATATTCACGGAGAGAAATGTTCAGTAAAAAGTACGGAACTCACAGTTCGCTCACCGATTACGGAATCGACTCAGAAAATTTAAGTGACGGTATCGTACATTTTCAGAGAAAATTCAGGTAAAAATTACAGAACGCCCTGGAAAAATTCCGTGATTTTAGGTAAAAATTACGTGACAATTCCATACAATTTCCTACAACCACATTTCACTCCGGTTTTACGGAAAAGATACGTCATTTTTATTGAATATTTCTCTCCGCATTCCGCTAGTTTTATCTCATTTTTTATTTATTGTTTCTGTTTCTGGAACCAATGGTCGATTGATTTGAAATCAGCGTGCAAAAATCTTTCGAGTGGTGGTAGTCTCATCCCTGTGCCAAAAACCGAAATTTAGGACTGTGATATGGTCCCAAACCACTATCACTGCTGTTGGAATAGAAACAACTGGAATAAAATTATTTATAAGTTATTCGTAATTCATTTACAAGTATTTTTCAAAGTTGCTCAAAATAAAAAATTATCGTAGGTAAACCAATTACGACATCGGTCCCCGTAATTCGTTACCACGCAAGTGACGACGAGCTAGAGGAACTCTATCCCAGTACAGACGATGATAAACCAGCATCAGAGAATACAACGCCAAACTCGAGTCCATTCAAGACTGCTAAGTTAAAGTCCGACAGTAATAACGATAGCACTGAGGATATTTTAGACAAACGTTCATCTAGTCTCGATTTCTCCGAGGGAACACCACCATCAGACCCCTGGAAAATGCTATCAGACATTCGTGGAAAGATAACAAAGACTTTTGAGGAGAAACTTTCGGAAATAAAAAGTGAGAAGAGGGATAAAGCGAAAGGGAGAAGCAGGGAAAACTCCAGCGTCAGTGACCCCGAAGATGTAGGGGATATTACCCCCACCGACAATGCTGTTTTCGATAAACTGGAAACAGAATCCTCGCCCTGTTTAAAGAGACGAAGTCACTCCTCGAGATTCAGATTTTCCTCAATAAAAACCGGATTAAAAACGAACAACAGGGAGGACAGTGTTGAAAGTGGTGTTGAGGCAGCTGAAGTTGTAGAAGTCGATGCAATGACCTTATCCGAAACATCGAATGACCAAACCATTCAAGTGTCCACGACTAGGACAATGAAAGAATTGTCCCAAAGTATCTGTGCAACGAAATCACAAAATGAAAGTGTTAAAAAACCACACATGATTTTCAACGAATTGAAGACGAGTATATTGTATCGTGCAGTTCTATTACCACTTATCCTCTTAACTTTTTACATAATCCCATTGCCTCAATATATAATGGGACTCTTAGCTGGGATTTTCATTGCTGTATCTGTCCAGAGGATAGTTGCTAGAGTTGCGGAGGTATTGGAGATGCCAGTGGAAAAAACATATGAGATTGAGTCACCAATTTCTGTGCTGGAGATCCGGGCAGTTGAGGAGCACGCAGTTGTCGAGAGGTTTGAGGGGTGGTTGAATGAATTACCTCGTCATTATGATCCTGAGAATTATCACGTTGCGAGAACAAATGCAGTTTACTTCAAGCTGGAGGGGGAGACTTTGAGGATCATGGAGACGAGAACGAGGGTTCCTAAGAGAGCTATTTGGAATGAGACTCAGCCCACTGCGAGGTTCACCAGGAAGAGGGTTTACTCATTGGTGGGGGCTACTGTCGAACTGCTTCCTGAGGGACTCACTCGGAGGCGACGGTGGAGCAAAAAGTATCCTATTTGTATCACTTTCTCACCTGCGGGGATTGGGGAGAGTATACTGATGGAGACACCGTCAGACGATGAACTCCAGGAGTCTGAGAAGGAGAGGGACAGGATCATTGTGGAGGAGGACGAAACTGACGAGGATATCTCTTTGTCGAAGGATGTCAAGGACGTGTTCGAGGACTGCCAGGACGAGGAGGACGAGGCTAGGTTCAAGGTCTTTGTTTTCGGCAGGACAGATAGGCAGAAGGAGGACTGGTACGTTTAGAATACACTAAGGGAAATAGAAACGGGTTCTCAAACAAGTCTTGTTTAAACCGAAAAACAACAGAAAGTTGATGATTGTCAAAAAATTGAATTTGTTTCATTTCAACATGCGAAAGTTTCTGATATGAATAACCGCTCTGATTTCAATAACGAAATATGGGAATCAAAGGATGGATCATTCCCGCAAGATAGTACCTTCTTATTTATATTTTGCTCTTGAGATGCAGGATTACTATCATATCATATTCAACAATTAATTTCTTATCTTTGAGTATTGGGTAGCAGTTTAGAAAAACGAATAGGGAACATTAGAAGAGAGATTTCTTGCTTGCACAGAAAATAACAATTTCTTAGAACAACTAAATCTATTCTTGCTACAAAAATTTTTCGTTCCAGGGCATTTTTCCAATTTTGCGCACGAAATTTTTTATTCTTGGAAGTCTTCAACTTGCCATTTTTTCGGTTGAAACAAGACTTGTTTAAGAACATGTTTTTATTAATCTGAGTGTTCAGTCACGGGAAGTATTTCTTAAATAATTGGAACGAGTTTCGCATAATTTTTTTGTAATGATCTCTATGTGACTTTTTAGTGGTGAATTTTTTTATGAGTGAGGCATGCGGTTGAGAGTAGAATTTTATGCGATAGGTATAGGCGGCTGGTATCGGCGGCTAAGGCAGCTAACAAGCGGAACTCAATACCGTCCACCAAAGAGCTGATGATATCATCGAGCTCTTCATCCTTATCACAGACCAATGGAGAGGCAAAAAATTTTACTTTGAGTAATATAGATGCTCCACCAGAACTGAATTATAATTCCTACATGTCCAAATATACTGATGTGAGTGATCATTTTTTTAATTTTGCGGCCCTTTTTCATGCGTTTTATTTTTTCTTTTCTACCATTTGTTTGGGTATGCTGTGATCGAGAAGAGAAGATTAATAAGGAAATTTTATGACAAATAATTTGGATTATTTGGAATGGTTTCCGTAGCCTTAAAATTTATGCAACAACAGCCTGATGATGATTTTTTCTACATCTCTTTTATTGGAACATGCTCAAGAAATAATCGTTTATTCTGAACTCAGTTGGTTTCACCACTCACCAACTGCTGATTTTTTTTCTTTTGTTAGGATTTCATACCTGTTGTTTATTGCAATTTTCGCTTCAGTAAACTTGAAAATATCTAAGGGATTTTCCATCACAATCAGCGAATTTCTTTTGCAATAATGTCGTTTCACTAATTCATTGCAGATTCTTTTCTCTCAAGTTTTACATTGAAATTAGATTATTGTTTTATTTTTATTTTAGATTCCATCAACTCCAACGGATTCAAATATAACACCAAACGACAACGATATTTTATGGCTCAATGCCTTGTTCGGTCGTGTTTTATTCGACATGCACAAGTGTCCAGACATGATAAACGTGATTCAGGACAAAATTCAGAGGAAGCTGTCGAACATCAAACTACCTTATTTTATGGAGAGTTTGATGATATCGGAATTAGTGATCGGCCAAGGTGCGCCATTTATTCACAAAGCTACTAAGCCGACTGTCGATGCACGTGGATTATGGATTGATTTGGACATTTCGTATGATTGCGGTGTGACGATGACTGTGGAAACCAAGATTAATCTAATGAAGCTAACGAAGGCGGGCTCTGTCTCCAATAATTCCAATGACAGCGGAGGAAGTGATAAGCCGATGCCTGCCCGATCTCCCATGTTCGATAGTGATGTGGAGGACAGTCCAGAGACATCTACTGAGGATGAGGAGAGTATTCCGGTACCAGCTACTTCTTCTAGGGAATCAACGTGAGTTTAAAACCACGAAAGTACAAATTCAATGATAAATCCTGCAATGAAGGAAATGATGAAAAGAATTTTGATAAAAGGAAATAAATGACACAATTATATGTACCCTATTAAAAATTACTCCTGAAATTTTTAGTCGAAAATCTTGAAATTTTCAACAATTACTAAACCGTAAGTTACACATGAGGAGATCACGCCAAATCTGAAGCCCAAAAATCCGAGGTCGTCGATTTTCTTGTCTATTTTTTTCGGAAAAGTTGGGCATCAGATTAAATTTTAATTTTTTTTTCGATGAAATTCGTCTTTTATTCTTCATTAAATTTTTTTTTAATTTTAATTTTCATTGATTTTGTATTGAATTGTATGGCGAAAATTATAAAAATCTTTCTGGGAAATTGACAGAAAAACGGACTGAATGTATTTCTTTTGGCCTCTTTCAGAATTTCAGAATTTTTATTGATGATTCCGCAAATAACATTGATGATGCCCCTAAAAAATATATAAAATCAGATAAATAATTCCTAGTAGTAAAATCAATATCATATAGAAAATTTCTGGGAATTTTCAATAAAAAGTGTGATATTTGGATCGAAAAACAATGAAGAATTAAATAGGATTGAAGCATTATTCATCACGAATTGTGCTCAAGAGACATGTTTCGTGTCTAAGATTTTTGTATTTTTAGCGAAGAAGGAAAAAAATTGCAGCGTATTTATTGAGATTCGAGTTTTTCAATAATGTCAAACAGAGGTTGACTGATTTGACATGAAATTGGGAGTTCAATTTTACTCAGGGAATTATTTCATTCTGCATTCCATTTTGTCTCGGTTTTACCTTCAATTTTCAAAAATATCATCTTTTGACACTCTGACTTTAATAAGTACTCATTCTTTCATGAGATAATTGGATGATTAACAGCGATTTTTCGGTTATTCTCAGTAGTTTGCATCACTTCTGTTTCTCTCTTACACCAGTCTATCTAATGAGTTTCTAAAAAAAAGCTAATGAGTTTCCAAAAAATATCGAAAACTTTTCTGTAGTATATAAAATTCTGTGCAAAAAGATCCCCTCTCCATTTTCAAAATATTAAAATTTGCCGAACAATATGACAGTTTTGAAAAAGATGAAAGTGACTTGATAGTGAAAAAATAGTACATTAGAGTACAAGGGCACCAATTTCGTTTTCAACGAATGTGTAGTTTACAGGCCGAGCCGAAGGCCAGGTCTGTACACACATTTGTTGAAAACGAAATTTATTACCGAGTGCTCTATTATATTTTATGTCAAGTCGTGCAGAAGTCGAGTTTTGAGCAAGCTGCGCGAAGCGCAGCGTGCGATAAACTCAACTTATTGCACGACGCGACATAAAAAGAATTATGTCGCTTGCATAATAATCATCAAATATGGAATTCAATAATGTACTACTACGACTTAAGTCTCTATGTATTACGGCCCTTCCCTGCTTTAGAGTATATCTCCCTTCAAATGTATTAAATAAATATAAAATCAATAAAAGTATTCATCTCCAAGCGATGTAAATTAATCCAGGAATCAGGGATTTTGGAGAAATAAAACACTATGATCTAATTGTCAAGGATGCGACGTTTTGCTAAATATATTTTCGCTTCATCAGGCTCTTGACTCAATCAATATTTAGTCACGCTATTAGTTAGGATTCCCGTGTGGAAAATTTTCACTTGCATCGTAAAAACTTAAATACAAAAATATAAGCGATATATAGCAATCACTGAACGAAGTTCACCCGCCAAAAACTCACTGACAACATTGAGTCAACAGCCTGATGAAGCTAAAATATATTTAGCGAAACGTCGCATCCTTGACAATTAGATCATAGTGTTTTATTTCTCCAAAATCCCTCATTCCTGGATTAATAAAATCTAAAAATTTCAAAATTTCAAATATCCTTACTTGATATTTTATGTAGAAATCACTACAACAGAGCAATTGACTGACCCATTTGATCAATATTTCAAATCTGGATAAAAATAATTAGTACAGTTAATAATGCTTAGATTAACACTTTCCATTGCATTTCCAGACCAACACAGTCGTCCGGTCGAAAGTTTCTGAGCATGGTTGACAAATTGGCAGCGAATAAATACTTTCAGCATGTGAGTATCTAAAAATATTCCAATAAACACCAGGCATTCAATATCGAATGCCACATGTGTCCTCTCGAAGATGCTCAAGCGCTCTACTTTGTTTTTTATGTCCCTTCGTCGTGCGAGAATGAATAGAATCGTCTCGCCAGTTTAACTCCATCTGTTTCTAACTACTCCGCCAAAAAAATATTCTGAAAAAGTGATTTTAATGATTTCGGTGTCTTCTTTATAGGCTGCTGAGTTGTCATACATTCGTCGGGCCATGGAGGGTGTTTCTAATACCGAGATCCGGTTGATGGTCAGCGTGTCTAGCATTGAAGGATGTTTATCCATTAACATTCCACCCCCACCATCCGATCGCTTGTGGTACGGATTCAAACCCATTCCGAAAATCAATTTGGATGCAAGGCCAGCGGTTGGTGAGCGTGCAGTCAATATTGGATACGTAACTAATTGGATAAAGACGAAATTACTGAAGGAATTTGATAAAGTGGTTGTATTACCGAATATGGACGATCTTGTAATACCATTATGCCCAAATTTCCCGTACCTCCGTTGATTAAATTCCAGGGTAATTACGTGGGAGAGAGACGGAATGAAAATGAAGCACACTTTAACTTCAACACAACATTATTTTGATGAAATGAACTTTTACACACAATGGAGACTTCATTTTTTGACACATTGAATCTTTTGCATTAAAACTTTGCCGACAAATTGTTAATCTCACATTCTAATTACATGATTTACATTTAGAATTGTACTGAATTGAAATGTACCAACTCAATTATACATTGGGCCTTCGGAGTTCCACATCGTATAATTCGTACGTGTCAATTTTCAATTTTGTGTGAAATTCGAGAAAAATGAAATCCACTAATCCGGGCCAAAGTTTTATGGGTTTTGTATTGAACTTTCCACAGTAAATTACAATTTACTAGGATTCAACAGGTAAATTTTGCAATTGGAATGTGGGGATAACTTTTTCTGCAGACAAGGTAATAATACAAATCATTACATGTGTCAGAAATTGAAGGGGTTCCATTGGGTCGGTGTTGAAGTAAGCCGAAAATGATTCAACAAACTCATTCTGCAGTAGTGATGAGAGGAGATAAGTTGTAAAATTAATGGGAATATTATTTTGAAAATATGTTGGAAATTCAGAGGTTTAGGATTTACGATGAAACCTTTTTTTTCGAGTTTGAAATCCTCTACAAAAAGTTTCATTTATGTATTTCAATAAACCTCTTTATTAGAGAGACGCTCGGAACATTCCATGTCAACTCAGCTACTTTGCGTATTTTGATAGCTAACTTCCGCCTTGAAAACTGTTGCAATTTTTGCATACTTTTATTATGCATCGAAATTGTCTGTTCAACGGCATATGGTTTTTAAACATAAAATCGATATTCTCAATATGAAGAGATGGGAACGCGAAAATCCGGTAATTTTTTACATGCAGTTATTCACTTGTAAAATTACAGTTTTCTGGTCACTCGTTCGTGATGCAAATTGATCGTAATTTTTTTGAATTGTCTGTGATTGCCTCCCATCGTCATTTGTAGCACTAGTCATTTTTTAAAATTTGATCTCTCTTCATTCATTTCTTCAGAAATAGGAATGTGAATTTGAGGGAATTTATATTGATTGGGAGTTGTAAGAAATTACTTGAAAAGTCACATAGTTTTTTATTTCTCATGGATTTGTTAATGTTTAAATCGGAGACGAACATTCTACGAAATTTTCATTTGATAAAACGTTTCCTTAATCTTTGTGGTTTATACAACTATGCAACGATTTAAAATGATAATCATGTCACCTCTGGGTGAAATACGTAAACTATGTAGAGATGCAAATGTTTCACGTGACCCGTCATTTGTTAGTCCTGTGTCCGTCATTGATGAGGCGTATATAACGGCGGTCATAATTCTCCCAGTCATTTTTTAACGACAGCCATTTTCCATCTGTATAGACGGAATTAAATTTTCTTCTTTGTCAATTTTTATTTCAATTCATTTCGTATTAGCCTAATGCGAAAATGTATTTAAATTTCATCTATATTTTTGGTTTCATATGTATACCCTCTCGGGTTTTTACATTTTGTTCCCTTCCCTATCTGCGTTACCATGGGCCGACTTACTTTATCCCCAACTGCACCCCATTCGGGTTTGGACTGGCAGGGAAACCACGGAAAACCTCAGTCGTGCAGCCGGCCGATAATGCAGGGATTGCACTGTGTCCATTGGTCACACTGACTCAATGGGCACAGTGGTTCTCTACATTCGTGCCTAGCGACTGTAGTCCCACGCGGTTAGGTGTGCCTAAGCGGACACCCATCCAAGTACTGCTCAGACTGAACGCTGCTTAGCTTGGATGACCGCCAGAGCCACACACTTCCCGCGTGGCCACTACAGCCACTTATTAGTCTAATGCATATATTGAAATAAAAATATCAGTCATTCTTTTACCATATTGACGAAACCATTTTTTTTAAATTTATGACCATTGCAAATTAAAAAATATTTATGACCATCATTATACATCTATATAGATTGTTTGACAACAATTTAATTCCAAATTATTTTTTAGCATCATTTGAAATGAGAAAATTAGCGCGCCATATATATGACCGTCATCGTTCAGGATCTCAAAAAATACGGTTATTTTGCGTCTCTGAAACCATGATAACTGATGTCTATGGATTGAGAATGTTACTGCATTGAATGAACAAAAATCAACTGCCCTATCTAAATAAAAATCGAAGTCAACATTTCTTTCTATTATCTCTGCGACAAAAGTGTTAATAATTACCACGTGGTCAGTGACGTGTAATTTACACCCAAAAAGACGGTAAATTGACCGGTCACCTTCTTCCACTGCAAATCCACGAAGAGGTGGCTGGGTGTGTGAATTTTCAAATTGTCTTCTCCTACCACTTGACCCTTAAATTGACCTCAATGCTCGTTAATAGCCAAAAAGCCGCGTATGTTTTATCACAGGATAATTCTGTAGCGAAGTGGTAACCTAGGATAAGTGAAATTTTTTTGAAAATGTTTCTATTGTTTGAATCGAAAATTCTCTCAAACGTGGTCAAGTTTTTTAACTCTCCTGAAAAAGTTCCACTTTTGCACTTCTCCTAGTTTACCACTTCGCTACAGAATTCACGATGTGTTTACGAAATTCTTGAAGACTTTCAACATTTCTGGAATTAAGTGGAATGAGATTGGTTCTACGAAATTGTCATACCAAAAGAGAATATTTTATGGATGAGAGAATGTGAACGAAAATAACACTCAATAATGTGGAGTACACGCAACTCATTTGCTCACATTATCTATTAAATCAAAGACAAAATTTATATTGAAATCAAATCACGTATTTTCTTATTCCACTTAATCGCAAATTACTTGATTATGACAATTGTTCATTTCGTATTTTTCTTTTCATGTGATATTTTTGCTAAATGTTACCGTTCTATCGAAGGTATAATCATGTGTAGATGATAGCCGTATTGTGATGTCCAGTAATTTTATTATCTATTCAATGATAAACATTGAAAGTTTGCAGCGAATACTTAAGTGAATTTCGATTAATGAAATGAAGTTATTTCATATTTTTTCTATTTTGAATATTTTAATTTGTCAGTTGAATTTATTTTGTACTTTATTCGACCACTGTTCATTTAGTAATAAAACATACTTCATAAATGGGCAGCAGCTTTATGTATTAAATGGTAGAAGTGCGTGAATCTTTTGCTGGACCAAAATCAATGAGTGGGGATCAGTGAAGAAGCAATAAATTACGAAAGCCAAAGGGAATAGGAAAAAAGCTTACATTTGGAAGGAAATTTTTTAAAAAGTTACATATTACATTAGTGCGGCGAAGTTAATGGTGATAAATGACTTGGACGATGTGACTCTTGAGTATTTTCGCTTTTGTATGATGATTATGGGGATGTGAAATGTTAATGTAAAATAATACTACTACTTCCCTTATGAACGAGATAACATAACGGGCAATTGTAATTTAAAGACAAAAAGTAGCTGTTTTCTACGTCATTTCTCGCCTTCTTCATGCGTGTTTTTCATGTATTTGTTATGAAGAAAAAAAGGAACAATAAAATATTATATATATTTGTTGATGAATATGTATGGGAGTGTCTTGTGGGATACATTAGCAAAACAAATCATTTACGGAAGTACCCATTTTATTAATTATTTAGGGAATTATTTTGTTGAATAATTTCAATTCGTTTTTGTAATAGTCAAATTCAAATTATTACAGAAAATCATAATTTTTCACTCGAAATACAATATTTTTATTCTGCATATATTTGCCTCAGATATAATAAATTTGAGGGAAAAATATCAAAAGATCTGCATCGAAACTGAATTTTCTCTATAAGGAAATAACAAAAATAATTTTCTTGCTCAAAGAAAGGAAAATATTGTCTATAGAAAATATCTGTGACATTGTGCCTTAAAGATACTCATCTATAATCCATTCCTTAATTACTACAGAGGAAAGAAGCAAACAATTTCCCATCAAATACATCTCTTTTATTGTACAAAGCTCTCTCGATCATAAATTCATCTTTCAAACATCTTAAAAACAATTAATATCACAGTTTGGAGATCGAAATCTTATCATCAAGTTAATTTCTCGTTATGTACAATCAACAAAAATATATCATCTATATACACTCTCTTTACATGTTTCCAAATAAACTCAATCGATATTATTGTTTACGATAAAATTAACTCCTGAGGAGACAGGGTGCGCTCTGCAATTCTCTGACAGCCTCAGCCCAGGCTTCAAGCCTGGGGGCACAAGCCAGCGTCAGATCGCCCAGCCTCTTCTTCGCCATTATCACAAATTCTCCATGACCATGACGAGCATCACAGGCCTTGGACACACGCACCCTGATCTCCCTCTCGACTCCGAGATCACCAGAGTCTACTTCGTTTTCCTGTAATCAGAGAATAAAAAAATCCAAGCATTAATTTTCTACCAACGACAAAAAATAATAAAACAATTTTCTTTCCTTTTCAATTAATATTAATACTAATATTTAAAAAAAACAGCTCTCCATTCTTAATTCGAAAAAAATGAGGCAGAATGGATTTAATTTTTTCGATTTCTTTTTTCAACAGTTAATGATCTTTTAATGATATAATACACTTGAAGAACTATCCACCGCCACCCTTGTGATAGAGTCTAGTTTTTGTAAATATTTTAATGAGCTTTTGATGAAAATCTACCTCATTCTCCTCGATCCGCCTGAGTGTCTTAGTAACTCTGAGGACAAGTTCAGCAGCATCAAGATCCTGTCGTCTCTCAACAGCACTAACTGTACCCCTAGCAACGAGATCACTCTTGCAATAAGTCTCAGCTAATTCCTCCTTAGTGCATGGTCTACACTCATCCTCCTCATCCCTCCTGACTATTTTTCCATTCTCATCAACTGACTCGAGTTCAAGATCATAACGTAGTTTAACTGTGGTATGACCGGGCGTGGGCTCATCCGCCTCCACGTATAGGGCGGCAAGCTGTCCCCTCGAGTGAAAGCAACGATGTAGTGCCTCGTGTTCACCATCTCCTGGCGCATAAACCGGTCTCAATGTGCCTTTACCCTCGAGGTAAACTCTAGCTGGGCCTGTTACTTTGATACAGCCACGAAAACTCCTGCCGTCACCACCACCAGACAGTACCACCCTCAGTGCACCCCGGGGGTAACGCCAGGACACTGTACCACGTGAACATCGTAAATAAACTGGACGAACTTCTCTACCACCACCACCACTGCAAAATAAATATTCATCTTCTGTTACAAAAGGAAGAGAAAATAATTTTGTTGGCATGCAAATTGAACATTTCTTTCATTTTTTGTTCTTTCAATCTAATTGTCTGACTTTAAAAATCCAATTAGCAGTAAAAAAATAGACGAGTTGTTAGGACACTTTCAATAAATGATGTTGAAAATTTTCAACAGAATAGGTTTCAAGATATTTCTCAAAATACTTCTTATGTAGAATATTGTATGAACTCCCTGATGAATCAAACACAGAGTTAACTCTAGGTTCATGGAAATTTTCCAGAGTTTCTCTCTTTCTGCGCTGGATTTTTTGAATAAACCAAGAATTTATCCAGAGTTAACTCTGGGTTTGATCTATCAGGGGTACAAGGAAAGAATTCGGAACCGTCTTCTAAATTGACCAATCTCAAACATATTCCCAAAGCAATTTTTACCAGACATTCGATTTTATCTCTTGCTGAATAAATAATTGTTTCAATTTTCAATCCTCATTGTCTCCCCCTGACAATTTTTTAATTCATCCTCAGGCTCACACAGCACCTTCCGCAGTGCAGTCTTATTTCGACACGGTATAACACGACAATGATCAGTGTGACGCATCGCACACCTCAAGGATAATAATATTTTGTAGTAATCAATGACAAGATTTAGTATAGAAGGATAAATTTATCCGTAAAAAATCCAAGTTCCAAGTGGGTTGGAAGGGGCGGAGGGGGATAGAGAGATGAGAAATAAAGAAGTGCAGGGCGACAGGGAGGGCCGTTTCCCTTTGTCATATAAGGGGGGCATGAACCGGTTTCAAAGTCACTACGACCGGTTCACATTTTGATAAAAGTTTACTTTCCTCCTGGGGGCTATTAAATTATCGTGTCGCCTTTTGGTATATGTACGTGGTAAGTGCTCTCGCTTCTTTTAACGAGTGAGCGAGTACATAAACGAGACGTGAAACACAAATTTACGAATGAAAACGTGAGCCCCAGCAATTTACGATTGCACAAATCAATTGAGTACGACAGTTTTTTTTCTTCATTTATCTCGACAGATTTTTATGCCATAAAGAGAGTTGATTGACTCGATGTTCTCATTTTGGGGACGGATAGAAGGAACGGCAATCAATCGTGTTTTTCCCTCGTTAAATTGCTCCTTATTTACGATCGTGTTGAATGATTGAAAAAATCTTTATCCTCCCTAATTTTGTGTCCAAGGTATTTTGATACATTTCTGCTCGCGATTTTATTTCATTCTTCAATACAAGTGAAATTGGATAGACCTGGAATTTCCTCCGCCATTGCAGAAATACTTTTTTTCCATCTCCCAACAAGGAATTCCATGATTGGTGAGTTTCAATGCCATACACGGTCAACTTGAAAGTGAAATAACAAAAAAAAAGGGGGAACTGGAGAAAACTGGCCCAACATTTTTGTTGGAAATAAGGAGTCCTCTGGAAAGTTCGATTTAAAGAGCCCATACAAATTTCAATGTATTTTGTAACCCCGTTCTGTTCCACTTCCCATTATCCTGAAATTACAATACCCCTTGTATTCATTTCTTGATTTTTCATCTCTACTCCGAATAGAAGAGTGAAAGGCAAACTTTGTTGTTCAGAAAATGAGAGATGTCTGGAAATGGAGCAACAGTTGGGATCTTTATTAAATCTCCATTCTTGGTAATGTCGGATTATTTCCGCGGTGTAATTAAGTTGAATGGAAGAAATCTCGTTTAGTCCCGCGGATGTAAACACAGGTTGTAGAATCATTTTGACATGAGTTCGTGAAAGAACAGGAGAAAGTTTCCCTGACAAAAGGAAAGTAATTCTAAAGACTCAATCCGAATGATAAATGTAATACGTTGAAGATTGAATCAGAGATGAACAAATGGTTACTGAGAAGTGATAACCTGACAGAGTGGCTATAATTCCTACAAATTATGTCAAAAAATCCCGACGGCAATTGAAACATAAATACCGATCAAGAAAGACAAATTGGAGCAAACAGATTTGAAACAATGAAAATCAATTAGAGATAATTATAAATTGACAAGTGAATACAAACCTTCCACTCCAATCACACTGGTCAGTAGGTAAACTGGGCTGCACATGAGTAGGTGCAGAATCCACTCCCAATCCAAATATCACCACTAAGATAACCAGAAACCCCCCACACCACATGATCATCTGCATGTTGTCCTAAAAAATCTTCTCAACGGAATCTTTCAATCCCCCAATCACTTCATCCTAATGAATGACGATGATCGTTTCCAGAGAAGATTTACTACAGTCGCAATAAGCCGTCCTCTTCGAGGTCAAACTGAGTCCTTGAGTAGACACAACAGCAGATCAATTCCGCTAACTGAAGTGAATTCCAAAAGCGTAAACAGTCAACACAAGCGCACACGTATGAATCCCCGCTATTGATTCATGAACACCAATAATCCAGGAATTATTGAACTACTTGTTTGTCCCGCGAGGTTCACCAAATCGTAATGACTGGTTCGACTTAATCGCGATTGTGCGGAATTGGAGCACAGGAGTTGCACTTTGTGGGACACTCCACAGACATTTCGTACCCAGTCGACTTTGAGGTGGGAATCGAACTGGCGCAGGGACAGCGGAGCGTTCACCCAGTGGTTGCAGGGCACCGAGAGAGTGGTCGAGGTGGTGGGGATGAAATTTTATAGTGGGGAGAGGTTTCTGGATTCTACACGACTGCGGTAAAAGTATTGACCTGACAAACTCATCTAGTTATTTTATCCTTACATTCCCGTGCGTTTTTAACACCATTTTGACTTGTTATTATTAACTTCTGATTTTTTTCGTTGAGAAATAATTTTTAGTCCCGAGCAAAAATTTGTTTTGTGGGGCTTTTGGGGCGATGGTGGCGGATGCTGGAGCAGTAGTTCTGCGGTGATCGTGTATCAGAGTCCGGAATAGTGTACTTGCGTCATTCTCGTACTGTTGAGTTGTACTATCCAAATCTACTGCACATGTGCGATGGAACGGCGAGCAAAACTCGGTTTAAATCGATGTGGCAGTTGATATCGGTTTATGAAGGAGTATTCGATACTTTTATTTGGGCTTGTGTCAATTCTCATTTGGATTTGTTTCGAAGAGGTAGTTCTGGCAGTGGATTGGGAGGGTCTCCGTGACGGTTATTCGAGACTCCCACATTGGAAGGTAGTGGGGGAGAGCAACAAGTTGGCCGGAGGCAACCTGACTGGGTTTGTGGAGAACACGCATGGGATGGGATGATTTTCCACACTAGTAGTTGAAGAATTCCAATTTATTGTTTAATTAATTCAAGATTGTATAACGATGCTATGACTCTGTCGAGGGCTACTGATCACTCCCGAAATCACGGCACCACTCTGAAATCAAGTGGTTTCGGCTCTCTAAAATCATTTTCGAAATCATCTCCGAAATCACTTCAAATCGTCTGAAATCAATGAAATTACCGAAATCAGTGGTGCACTGACGTAGTACGAACCCTGCAAGTAATTCGTGATTTTGAAATTGACACGTCTGCCAACGATGATAATAAAATGCCGTACTCACTGCCACAGTAAGATGGCAAAATGGACCGCTTTTCAACGTCATTATCTCAACATTGGCGCCGTGGAATCAAATGAATTCATTATTATTTGCCAGTTTTGATTTTCATAATTTGACACAACCCGTTTTGCCCCACCTCTATTATTTATTAACTTTATTTTTCAGAAATCACTGCTTTCGAATTAATAAAATCATTCGAAATCATGAAATCATCACCCGCGACGCTCGAAATCACCGAAATCATTTTTTCCGAAATCATTGTAATCAGCGCTAAAATCGACTTCATTTCGAAATCATGGTGTCACTCAATTATGGAGTGAGTAACCCCTTGGACTCTGTCGAAAATGTGAAAATTGATTGTTTGAGGAATTTGCCGAATGAATTCCACAGGAACTATTCTTTTGATTGATGGTCAGTCTTTCGACGGAAAAAATTGTCGTTTCGGTTGAGGATCTTTTAATTGATTCAAGTCACGTTTCAATTTTAAGCCCAGGCCTTCAAAAACTTTTTCCAACTCATAAATCAGACCAAACTCGCGTTAAGACCACCCGTTGCGAGCACCTTTCCTTACCTAGCGAAATTACGATTTCAACGACAAACTTCTCGCTCAATTCCCTGTTCTGACAACTTTCTAATTTAACTTCTGACTCCGGGTGGAGTCAGTAAAAAATTATTCACTCGGGGAAGAAAGAATTGCCGACGAATATGGGGCGAGTCACTCAGAGCGTGACCACGTGGTTTGCGATAGTGTCTGGCCTGCATAAGTCCGAGTATGAATGTCTCAAAGAGTGGATGCAAAAATGAATCGTAAGCTACGAATATAGAATTCTCGGTAATGTTTTTGATTTTATTGTATTTGAATGGCTTTATATGGCATAACTCCAGAGCTCATAACATCGTCTCAAATGTCGGTGTTTCTTGGTATAGACCAACGCAGCTGTGCCAGCTTGAGAGTAGTACGTCCTTCTTCAACAACCTCGAGTCCATTTTCAGTCACATTTGCCGACCATTTCAGCGAGTGACTGTATGAGACATTTTTTCCTGCAATAAAATTAATGGAATTAGGGGATTTAATTAACTCGCTAAAACTGTTTCGTTGAATCGTGAAAAAATTATAATGAGTCATTGGCTGGGAGAGCAACTAAAACGTAACGAAACGTTCAGTACTTTTCTCATTTCCAGGAAATAAAAATGCGTTGAAGTACATCGTGAGCAATTGCGTATAAAAATAATATTAATTAGGGGAGAGTGGGGCAAAATGAAACAGTCGAAGGTACGACTGTTGAACTTTTTTTATTATTGGGAGTACTGATCAGAAAAATAATTTTTCATTCAGTAGAATGGAAAATTGTTGCAATGTTTTGACGGGAGATTTTGTTAATGAATGAATTGAAAAGAAAATGAAACAATAAAATTCAAAATCCAGAGGAAGGCCCAGGGAAAAACCCAGATTGGGAAAAAGGAAAATGTGATACTTAATTTCAGTCGAATGGAAAAAAAAGTGTAATATGCTATTTATTTTGCTATTTCATTTTGCTCCACCCTCCTCTATTTAAGCAGACTAGATTCCATAAAATGAAATATATTTCATAGTCCAGTATCAAATAGTATAGTGCCCAGTAATATAGTTTAGTATTTAGAATGTGACTTTTTTTGCAAAAGGAATAGAAAATTTCAAGTAAAGAGTTTAATTTGATTCGAATGCGATGTTTTCCCTGGGGTAACAACGAATAACATCCTAAAGGAAAAATGGTATAAAAGATAATGAGATTATCGAATAGTAACGATAAATAGCCCAGAGTCCAATATGAAGGACGGTCCAGATGCGTCTTCATAGGAGGAATTCATTAAATAGTATATGTCGATACAAGTGCAACGGGTTTTTGTCAGTGATGTTACGTTCAACGAGTGACAAATTGTGCCTTAGGAGCAAACCAAAAGGCACTTTTCGGCGTGAGGTGAAAGTAGCTGCAGTGATGAAAAAATTCATTAAATTAAAATTTCCAGAGTTATTGCATTTCCTCCAGAATTCCGATAATCATGTGGAGAGATTTTTCACGCTTAAAATACTGGGATATAACTGAGATGGCTTTGTTCGGAGAGGTGCTGGCGTACTTTAGCGTAAACATCCTCTCAGCAATCGATCCGTTGGCAACGCAGATCTCGATGTAATTTAAACAAATGACGAACCTGAATTTGAGGTCTCCATAAGGAACGGGACCGTGGACAGTCTGCCCTGGGCCGTGGGCAAGAGCACTCTTCCGACTGAGATATAATTATTCAAATACTAGATTGTTTGCATTTTTAATGACGACTCTGTAAAGAAGGCGATCCTACAATATATAGACAAATATCCACTCTTTGGAAAAGTTATTTGGGGAGTGAATTTATTGAGTTTATACCCTTTCAATTGAAATACTTCCTACAATCACTCATTCCACAGTTGATATTATTATTAATGAAATGAGGCAATTCTCTTGTTAATTATTCATTTGTCATTCACAACTTGCAAGAAAATACAAATTTGAAATGAATTGAAACATGACGGGATTCTCAGTACTAATTTTGTCCGAGACACTCATTTTCTTCTTACTTGACCCGAAGACATCTGACGTCATTCAGTCTCGACGGAATATAAAATGTCCGTGATAAATAGCCATAGTTTGAAACGATTGACCGGGATGCGAGAGCCGCGGTACAATTGGACTAAATTACATGAAATGATGAGCACGCGCCGTTGGTGCCTCTTCAGAAAGCAATTGGTTCTCTCAATATACCATCCCTGCCGCCTCTCCGACCATTTAATTTATTTACAGCCGGGATAAAATTTAAATAGGAGCGAGAGGCTGAAGTCTAAAGAGGAGAGTAAATTTTGTATTCACCGAATGATGGAGGGGAAAAAAAGGGATGAATTCTCTCTCGTGGTTCGTGATTACGCGTGCATAATACATTCAGGGCTCGGCGGGTGCCGGGGGCCACGTGTCCACGTGAGTATAAAACGGACACGTATATAGCAATGGATGAGCGTTTCATCCTGAGGGGATTCGCTGCCACTTATCGGGGTAATACTTACAATTACGAAAAAATTCCGAGTTCCAAATGCGAAACCCTCGCACTCAATGCTAGCCTCTGGGCGAAGTTGGAAATTTTTACGAGCGCCTTAGTCATTTACAAAGGCGACCTGGGATTAATGTTAACGATGCAAATGAAGCCGAATGTGTGGGGGTATTTGCAGGGATGGTGAATCACTGATTTTTAACAATAAAATTTTTACTCGAACCATGAAAATTAACACAAAATTTGAATTTTTTTACCTCCATATTCTTTATATAGAATACTTTAGTACGGCTAATTCACCTATCATACACAAGTGCTTTCATTTTTTCACACATTCATGTTTTGCATTGAGATTTTGTTTACAGAAATTTTACTCCTCACATTGTAATTACCCGATATGTGTATTAATTCTACAAAATTGACAGGTATCAACCTAATTGTGCGATTTGCATTTCACATTGTATAATTCAAACTTGTAAATTATCAATTTCTTGCGTGCGGTTCGAAGTACGTTACATGTGAAAACGAAGTATTAATTCTATGGCCCGATTGTATCAAGCCCAGTTAAGGGGAAACGAAACCCCTGTGTTTATTTGAATTTTTAGAATTGTGTTTTCTCCTACAATTATACTTTATATCTATATGAAATTACTTTCTCGATTCGATCATTGCATTGTTGGGTCAATGAAGTAGTTTCATAAATCAAAAATAATAATGGCAGGAAAAAACCCAATTTTAAAAGTTCATATAGACACAGGGGTTCCGTTTCACCTTAAGAAAATCCTTAGTTAAGTATCTATAGTCCGTACGCTAGGGGTCGAAAGGTATTCACTGAAAGGTCGACGCGCCGACTTTGGCTTTTTTGTTTTTTGAATCATAGAATCCGAATTTGTTTGTTGGACTTCAGCAAACTCATGCACTCAAAAGTGCTAAACAATTTAATTGTTGAAATGCGCATAACTTCCGAACTGTAATCACCACAACAAAAAAAAGTCTGCATGGAAAATACTCATCTCGTGAAGATGAATAAATTGGTTTTTGACTAATCTTGATATCTCAAACAACAATGGAGCTACCGCTTTTTGTTTATCCGGGAGTTGAGCGACGTGCGGAGAACGATGTAGTCCATACGCTAACTATGGTTTTGCTTTAAAATTTTCCTAATTCAGGAGTGTAGAACACAAAAATGTTGCTTATTTTGCCGTCTAGTTGGACAAACACATTGTTATAAACAATTTAATCGTTTCAATTTGCATAACTAGGGAACTGTCAGCCCTAATACTCGTCTCGTCAAGACAAATCCATTGGTTTTTGTCTCATTATGATATCTCAAATCGCATTAGTTTCCCATAACATAGAATCACAGATTAGGGCAATGCAATACAAACTTGTATATCACGAATTTCGTTTCATGTGATGTACGCCGCGGGTCGTTTTTCTTTAATTAGAATTGACTGATTAACCGGAAAATTGGAAAAAAAATGACTTTGTCAATTGAAGTGTCTAAAAAATTATAGTAGTTTTTAGAACAACATATTTCCCAAAATTCCTAAAGAAAACTAATTTCGGACAGATGAATTATTTTTTCCCATGTTACATGAAATTGCCCATGACGCGACGTTGCCGGAAACTCGCTAAACGCGCCCGGGCAGTGTAGAGTGAATTCGGCAACGCTAAAGCCTAAATAAAACGGTGGGGAATTCCCGCGGAGGTAACTAAATCACAGAGTGACACTTGGTGACCAGACTAGGGTAAAACACCAGCTTTATTCGAGAAAACAACATTCAATTCATTACCCAATCTAATCATCTCCTACTAGGTACGAATTTCTCGACTGGAGATTATATTAGGTTAAAAAGAATAAAACTTTTCCATCATTGTGGTGAATACATGTGACTTGACGCCAAGGACTGTTTTATTTGATTCAAGTAAATGTATCTCAAGAAGAAATGATTGATATTCACCGTAAGATCTTATTTATTTGAAATTGATTCAAGTATATGATACTTGTTCCAAGAAAGAAATATTTCAATCCACGAAATTTTGTCTATCAGTGTACGGGCCGGTTGCATCAAGTCTTGTTGGCCTAATAAATCAGAGAAAATTTATGTCTGGAGCAAATTTATTCCACAGTTAGAGAATTTTTCATTGACTCATTCGGACGCGAATATTGATTGAATACTTCACAATTAGTAGATTTTTATTCATCAGGTATTTGCCTGAATCTCATTAATTTCAATTCCTGGAATGAAGACAAGAAAGCTTCTCACAAGTAAAGGAGGTGGCAAGTTGAGCTGATATATAATACATTGTATTGTTTTCCGAAGAAGATAAACCTCGCATTAAACTAAATTAACGATTTTTCTCAGAATAAATACGCAACTGATTCGATCACTTAATGACCTCTCCAGATACGTATTGTGCTATCACAGTTCATTTCATTTGTATCCAAAATAAGTTGTAATTGCAATAAAATACAGCATTTTTTAAAAATCTCATCTGAGGTACTTCGGTATTTTCATCCGGAATTCCAAAATTTTGAATGGCTATGAAAAAATGGCTTACGATACAAAATAACTCGACAGCAAAAGAATTTTACAAGGGCTATTATGGCAAAACGCGATCTGACGTTGAAAAAGTGAATATTTTCTAGTAAATTGGGTGGTGCCAGATGGTATGACCGTTGTGGTCTTTTACCTACCCGTCCCAGTACCTACGCGGTACCCCAGCCTAATTCCCTACCCGCACTTGCCTCTAAGCTAACTTATATCTACCTCCACATAACTAACTCCACGTGCACTGGGTTCGCTTTCCGGCGATGAAAAAATCTTTCATCATCGGGACTCGAACCTGCGCTACTGGGACGCTTTGGTTTATAGGGCTAGCACGCTGACGACGAGCCCAAAGACGTCCTCAGAAATATTTTCTAGTATTATATAAATATGGTTTAAATACAAAAAATGGGATTTTTTTAAATTCATCAATTGATAATTATCGATAACAAATAGGATTATTTTGTTGCAGTGAAATGGATTTTGTGATACCCCTTAGTTAATGTCATATAATTTTGTCCAATTTCAATATTTGAAGTTCATTGAATAAATAAAATATGTAACAGAATTCGAGTTTAGCCTTGATCTCTCCCAAACAATTTTCTACTTTCTATTTTCATTTCTGTGGGAAATGAAAAATCAATTGACTAAAAACGATGAAATAAATTGAATTAATCACCACGAAATTGCAATCATCTCGTTACTGAAAATAATCACAGATAGATCAGCTAGCAATATTGACCATGAAATCATCAAAACTTCCGTGTGAAGCCACGGTTAGTCGATCGTTTTCTAAATAAACGTTAACATTTTCGCGATGGGGCGGAACAGTCTCACGCCAAGTAGAGGTGAAGAATCTCTCTCACTCCTGCTCTCTTCTAGCAAGGAGAAAAAAATGGTCTTAAGACAGTTAATCGGTTCCCTGGACAAAGAGATTTTTTCATTACCAGTTTCTCAGATTTGAAATTGAAACCCTGAGAGCGACCTCGAGTGGAGTCAAACCAGCCGAGATAATTCAATTAATTAGCATTTTTCTTGGAGTTTATTGCAAATTCCCAGGGATGGTTAGCTCTGATAAATTTGTGAATTAAGGGCATTTACACGCAACTGGCGGAATACGATGCAAATCAATTTATGAATATGTTTATAGAGGAGAGGGGACTCACGCTTCGTCCTGGAAGGTTTGCTGGTCAACGTGACCTGGTGTGCACTCGACTGGACGCTGATTGTAGTTGGTGATTCCGAGGGACTTCATGCCACTTCTATATTGCTCGAGGGTAATTGTACCACTGCCAGATGGATTCATACTTTGAAATAAGCTGCCGATGTGTCTACAATTGAAGGATTGAGGATGAACTTGCGAAGTACCAATAAATGATAGTGATAATGATTTATTTTCACTATATGACTTTACACCTTTTACAGAGTACCAATAAATATTTCTTCTGAATAGGGAGCGCAATTTCAGAAAAAAATACAGACTCAAGGTTTTTGCATCTTAAATGTGTCCATAAAATTTCAAAGAATCCAATCGGAATTTTTTTAATTGGGCATGTCTTTTTCAGAACTATTATTTTTCAATAGCAAATACAACGTAAAAAAATAGTTGTAAATCCAGCTGTAATTTTTAGGGCGTTTGTCCTTAACTCAAGTTGCCCTAACATGAGAATTTTCGCCCTAAAATCTGAAGGCAAAACTCTAAATTCAGGGTCTAAAATGTACTAAATCTTGATAAGGGCCATTTCAGTAAAAATAAATTTCCACTTTTGATTTTTGGGGTCATTACAATTAGAACTTCTCATCTGACTTTCCGCATCATGTTAAAATCTATGAATAACATTTGTTTTTCGAGTTTTTTTTTTACGGAATTTGTAATGGCTATCGCCCGGGGCCTGTAACCAAGTATAATATTTACATTTTATGGACCTAATAGTTGATGCAGAAATAAAGAGTTTAGTTGTGTGTTCATTTTTCTGGATGACGATCGAGAAATTGAAGATAATTTTTACAAGATTGAGTCCATGATGAGATGGTACAGTATAAAGCGATGGTATGAAGGGTGAAGAGTTACAGAATTTCACCATTTGTGGACGTCCGTCTGAAAAGGAGCCACTTTGTCGATATGGTGTTATGTATACTCTGATAATATTGATAGCATTCCGCACATTTTGAGCCCAAAATGATCTTCATAGGGTCAAAAATGAGAAGATGGGAAAAATAATTTAACATTGGTGCAAATGGGAGTTGCTGGCACAAAAATGTGAATATCTCGGAAACTAGAATCGACAAAGTGGCCCCTTTTCATGTGGACGCACACATTTATTGTTGGAGGTGAACAAGGCCTCCCCAGACAGCAAAAACGAATGTCTCAATTTCACACACCTTTTGTAGACAACTTTCAGACACTAAAAAATGTCAGAATAAAATGAAAATTTGTCTGAATTTCAGACGAACAGGTGCCCAAACATCTTAATTCATGTTTGAAATTCAGACAAATTTCCATCTTATTCAGACGTTTTTTACTGTCTAAAAAATGTCTACAAAAGGTGTGTGAAATTCAATCATTCGTTTTTGGTGTGCAGGAGTCAAAGCCCAGATTCTCCTTTCGGATGATTTTGAAACTCTCAAATATAGTATGATGAAGGTATTTGTAACGAGACCTGATCTTAAGATTGAATTTGTGGCGGAGGTTTCGAATATGATTTAGTTTGCTAAGAGCAAAACTCGTCAGTTTTTTGGAGTTTTTTTAGGGGAAAAAAAGAATGTTCCGCTGGAAGATAAAACTTTTTTTGTGTGTATAAAAACGGTTTTGAGAGAAAAAGTTCTAGAATTTTTGTTTATTGATTCCTCAGAAAATAGCTATTAAAAAGTCAAAGAATTTGTTCTAATGATCAAAGCAATTGTGATGCATCTAAGGTCATGTGATACAATTTCATTCACCACTGCTATACCGGAACTCGATATGTCTTGGAAAGGTGATTTTCAGAGCCAGTTGGATTTTTTATTATTCATCTGTTTTTTTATGAATTCGTCACAAGCAAGCGTGTGGCTGGTCATCATCCAAGGGCTTTCAGCTAAATATTTAAATGTTCTTTATAAACAGTTCTGGTGGGTCAAAATAAGAAGAATTAAACACATTGAGTCAACTGTCAGAAACATATAACTTCAATACGGAAAAGTATTCAGATGTTCTACATTGTTGAAAATGAGATGAGAGCACTACATTTCGTAAGAAGTGATGTTAAAAATGAAGAACTATGCCCCCCCCCCCTTCGAATCCAGATTTCTATATTTAATTCAAGATATTTTGAACTCATCATTGGGTTCTATTGAGCTGTACAAAAACACGATGGTTAGGGTACATCAAGTTATATTGCAGTCAGCAGGTGATTGATTATTCTGAGTATACACAGAAATAAAGAAATCAGCCATGCATTTCCTCTCTGAGTAAGATCAACATATCATTCTCAAAATAAAAAAAAAATATTTATGAGAAATTGAAGAAAAATTAGATAAATTGGGTTCGATGGATAAAACAAAACTCTCAATCACTATAATCATAAAAATTATTGAATCTCCAAGAATAGAAACAAAATTATGCACAGCATCAATTTGCTTCGATTGTCAGAGAATCGCGAAATGACTCTTGGTATAATGGAATCCGTTGAGTTCTGGTCGCCAGTGAATTGACCGGTGAGGGCACGAACGGAAAGGAGGAGTCGAAGACCCGAGAGAGACAATTTGTTGGCGGGTCCTGGGTCTTGATTATAGGTATACCAACGCTTCCAAGGAAGGAACGTGTAGGAGTCAGCCTTTGGATTTCTCAACAAAGGCTTACTCGTGCTAATACAAGTAGACAACGATCATGTGAACATTTTTATTCTCCCATGATATTTTGGATACGTTTCCGGTTGATTAGTTTAGGACAAAATGGAGCCAATGAGATAATTTAACCTCTCATTGGCTTTTTATTTCATTTTTTTGTGAGTGATGATAGAGTGTGAGATTTGTTGTGGTTATTTTTACTGTTATTGCTCCAGCCACTAGAGTAAATTCAGGTGTACACTGTAATCCATGGGGGAGTGCAACGAGACAAAATGACGGGCGGCTCTTAAAGTTTCAAATTATTGGACATTCTCAACCGCCAGTTTATATTTTCGCTTACAATTTCTTCAATTTCGTTTGTCACGAGCCTTGTGGCCTCATCTGGGAAAATTAAAGTCCCCTAAAGAACACGACTCAGAAATGAAGGGAAGAGAAACGATAAGGCTACAAACGACAAATTGTAATGGAGCTTGTAACCATCACTTTGGCCAAGTCTTCATTTTTTATTTCTCGGTGTTTTGAGGGGGAGGGGGAGGAGAGTGCCAATGACGGACAATTTACGAGTTATTTTTCCATTTGCTGATGGAAGTTAGCTTTACCGGCTGGTGAAGAGCAACGGTGGCTCATCCATGTCTGATTTGAAGAGCATGCACTTGTTGAGGAGAGTGTCCAGGTACTCGATTGGATCATCTGGCTCGTCTACCAGCAAATGGCCTATTAAGAAATTGAAGAGTTCGTATATCTTGTGATCGGTGAGGTAACGCTCTGCTTGCTCGTGTGTGCCTGATTGATGCTAGGAATAAAGCAAACGATCTAGTTGATGAAGCTGTTCAATTGTCTGGGGTTAGTAGTTTATTCAATGAGACATTATAATTCAGTAGCGAAGTGGTAAATAGAGATGTCAATTTTGACTATTGACCACTTTTCAATCAATATCTCGGAATCTAAGGAAGATAGAAAAATTTTTATTATAACATTTTTTGAGGAACTGATTGAGTGCTACAACAAATGTAGTTACGAAAATTCCGCTATCTCCCTTAGATTCGGAAATATTCCTCAAAAACTCAACTGGGAGATAAGTCAACTTATCTCCGTTTACCACTTCACTACTGAATTTATTTCGGTTTAGTAGATTTCGCAACATAACCGTACAGAAGAATTTTCAATTCCTCAGTATCACCTAACCTAGTGGTATAACTTGGATTAATCAAACCTAATTTTGTAGTGTAAGAAATTATCACGAGTGCAAAAAAAGAATTGAGAAATTCCTTCTGCCTTTCTCGAGTTATCCATTATTAAAGACGGTCCGTTTTGACTCACTCTCCCGGGAGGAAAGATGAGAGGGTCCTGGAGAACTTCTGAAACAAAACGAATCGTCTTGTTCCTTCAACTTAGGATGAAAGTATCCTGGTGATTGAGCGTCACCAGTGATCCCGTCAAATTGTCACATAAGACCAAGTGTTCTTGAATTACCCGTATTTCCAGGTGAAAAATTAAGTTTCTGTGTACACACTGATGAAATTTGTAATAATACAATCAATTTACACGAAACGGCTTCAATAGATCTTGATGAAAGATTCATCCCCGGAAAATTTCATGATCTACAATCAAATCACTTTGGCTATGATTTTTTATTTTTGACTAGGAAAATTGCGGAATGCAGGCTCGCGTGACACCTCCACTTTATCTGGTATTTGGAAACTGCGCAAGCCCCGGCGGCGAATTCATCGCCAAATTTCGGTTCATGCTAGCGAGTAGAGACCCAGTGAATGAAGCATAAGTGGCAAGAAGAATTCAAAAAGAAGTAACAAGACTATTCTAAATAACTGTGGTGCCTTGGGGCATTATTGCGGGGGCCGTAGGAAAATGACCCTTAAACGTTCCGGATGCCTTTGGTAAATTGGGGCGATTCATCGAAAATCCCTTTGGTTAATGGTCGCGCTGTTGAAACGACCTCGAGGCCACTTTAGGATAATATCGGTGTAAATCCCTTGTGGGCATCTACACATCTTCCTCACTTCTCACTAACTCTTGGTCAATCTTTTTATTTATAGCCAAGCCATTCTTCTCCTTCACAATACAATAGAAATTCAATTTCTACAATTTCTATGAGAAATACTATGGGAAAAATTCCTTTTTACAGTTATGCTTTTTACGATTTTCTACCGATTTATTTTCATTGCGTAATTAGGAAAGGGAGAAATAGACATTCTTCAAAAAATAATATCATAAATATTAATGACGAATATCAATTATGAAATTCCAAGAAAATGTCTTCTATGGATAAAGATGTAAATGATAATAATGAAATTTCTTTTTCTTATTATCGAAAAAAATCCAGAAATTTGAAATCATTAATTAGAATATTTCCCATCTATCATCACCTGTATCAATTAAAATTGTCTTGTTCAACATCCAAAGACGCGGGTTCTAAGTCAGACTAAATAAAAAATATCTTCTTCCGTATTTCCCACCAGCTCCCTCCACCGTGTCATTACTCTCCTTAAGTCGTCCATAAAGAATCCCAGGTAGTCGAAATAGCAGAATGAATAATGCTCGTCGAGCTGGTTGTGAATCGATGTATACGGCCTCTTAACCCAGGGATTATACCCGATGGTCACTACAGCGCTCCATGGAGCGTAGAAAACACCGCAGAATATGTTACGAGTCTCTCGAGTCGTTAGCGTTATCCCCGCTGTTTACCGTAATGCCTCACATCGTCGAAGTAGCCTTCCTTTCAAAGTGCTACTTTGTGTTTTCCATGTGGTGATTATAATGACAGGGAAAAAATGTTGGCAAATTTTTTATCGGAACTATTTTAATGATTCGAATATTCATCAATCCTTATTTCAAGGGACATAACACCAAAGCAAATGAATTAATATTTGAGCGAATCCGCCAATTCTCCATATAAGAATTGCCTCCAAATTTTTAATGTTTTTTTTTCTATTTTTTTTATCGATGAGTCTAGTCCAAAGCAAGGAAAATGAGCGCAATTGAAGTTCCCTAACTTAATTATCGATTAAAACATTGAAGATGGTTTTTTTGTTCTTCTAAAAATTTTGTTTTTAATTATAATTACGCGCCAATATAAACAACAACAAAAATTGAAGCTATACTTTTTGTTAGGAACTTTCTAAATCTTTCGAAAAAAAATCTCGTTTTGAATATATTTATGTATTTCGGCATGGAAAACTTAAAAAAAAAGTTCTAAACGATCATTTGGGATCGTTCTCCACTCTTTTTTGATTTTTGCTTCTGAGTGGAAGCTTTGCAATCGTTCAAATCAAAGTTTTGGATTGTTTGCGTTATATCAACCCGTTATGATACACAAAGTCCGAAAATGCAATTTTTAGAGTATATGTAACAGAGTTTTCTTCAATTGTTCGTTAATAAATTGATGGAATTTAATTATTGTTCTTTTTCAAATGTAGATATTGCTGAGCCCTATCCATCGACATTAATTAAAATTTAGATTTGATTTGATTTTCATGATTATTTTTGCAAATTGAGGATTTTGCTAAAATTCCCCTGAAAGTGAATTGTTCGACAGTTTCTTCAAATATGACCTTCAAAATTCATTCAACTATGCATGAATAAAGTTTTTCTAACATAATGTTTTCATTTGATTTATACAAGAAATCTAATATAATTGAGTAAAGGAAAAATATAATGCAACTGAATAAAAGACTATAAAATGAAAAATCATATAGGATAGAGGAACATGATGTGCAAAATGTCCATTCGGAAGCATATAGCTAATTTATTACGCAAAAATAGCGCTATATGAAGACCATAGTAGATTTTATCTTTAGGCCCACAAAGTATTTTCAGACGAATGTGAGTTTATAAGCCGAGCCGAAGGCGCCTTCGGTTCGGATTCTAATATCACATTCGTCTGAAAATACTTTGGGGGTTGTATGATGTAAACTATTTTATATCATTAGGCCCGATAAACCGCGATTCTAACCTCGCTTCGCTCGGTTAGGTCCTAACGACATAAAATATCGTATGCCACACGGCGATAAAAGCATTATCTGGCGTATGTGGCTTTATAATCCGAGCGGGAATTATAATCACATTCGCCAGATAATAGTTTTATCGCCTGATGACATAATATAGTATTTCCGTACTGATCTTCACTTTTCTTCGTCCGGGGATTGGTATTGACCCTTCTCCAAACTCGTAAAAGTGAAAATCACTACGGAAAAATACCGTTGATGACTAGTGCCATGGGGTTTTTTTACTCGCGTGGTTGGCCAGTCCTCGTGTTCGGCTGGAACACCAACTCTATGAATCCCATGGCACTCGTTCTGCAAATATACTATTATTTTACGGGTTCGAAAGCCACGATCAAACCTCGTTTCGTTCGGCTAGGTCACGGTTCATCGAGCCTATAAATATAGAAACAATTTTCGTGTCACGGAACCTGAAAAACCCCATTTTCACGACACGAAATAGTACATTACATGCCCGAGCCTTGGAAAACAGATCATCGTCCCCCACGTGCAAGATTACCTTCCGAGCCGAAGGCGAGCAAGCACGTGGGGGAGGGCTGCAAACCTCATATTCGCCAGAAAAGTTTTTTTCGGCCTAATGACGAAATATACTAATTACGACGGATGTGAAGTTTACACTCACATTTATTGAAAATGAAATTTATCGCCGAGTGCTCTATACTGTTTTATGCCACCTCGTGCGGTAGCCGAGTTTCGAGTTACAAGTAAACGAAAAAGGCACAGTTCGACTACTCGTTGAAAGTAACATCACTTCTTAATAGTATATTCCGTAACGAGTGCAAAAAAGTGTTTTTTGGCGAGTGGGAGGTTTATATCACGAGCCGAAGGCGAGTGATATAATCCCACGAGCTAAAAAACATTTTTTCACGAGTTACGAACAATATTTTTCATCACAATGTGGCGGAAATTGGACTTTTAGGCACGCGGAGCGTGCCGAAAAGTTCACTTTTCGTTACAGCGTGATGAAAAAATATTGTTCGACACGTATGAGACAAGAATTTTCAAATCGTGTGATTCGCAACCCTTGGCTTGAAAAAAAATACTTCTCTCAAGTAAATGGATACTGGGCAAAAATAATTTTTTTTCTTAGTGTGCGAATGATAATCGGTAGAGGCTTAAGTTGCACTTCTCGAAGCCACTTTTATGTTGTCACGTAGGCCTGCGTCTTCATATGAATTCCCTGCTGAGGAAAAAATTGTCTCCACAATTTGTTTCAACATTTTACGCGAGGCAACAACATTGAAAAAGTCAAATATCCACACTTTCACCATTCCAAAACGATTGAAAAATACGATCCGTCTTAAATTAATTAATTATCAAATAAATCAGGATTCGTAAGTGTCCCTTTCCTTACCGTAACGGTCAGGTGGATAATTATATGTTCTGAAGTGGAATATGGCTTGAAGTAAGTCATTTTTTCAACTATTACTAGTCTTAAAATTTTTTTCTTTGTCATTTACGCATTGTTCCCGGAAACGAATTTAAAAAAAAATCACTCGTTTAACGCAAAACCACGGCGAAATAATTATTGTCCTTAAATATCGGTAAATATGTCCCCAAGTTACCCCTAAAATTTCAGATACAACAAAAATAAAGTTTTCGAGTAATTCCAGATTGAAAAAAAAATTAATTTTGCCATAACGGCTCTAAAAATGGAATAAATTGAGTTCAATTGCAATCATTTTGACGTTTTTTCAATTACCTTTCAATGTGTGAAAACGAAAATTCGATTCGTAATGATTAAATTCAATTATTGTGCCATTTTCTCAAACAATCGAAATTCAAGGGGAAGAAGTGAAATATTCTGAATAATCATAACTCGCTGAAAAAAAAATCGAATTGTTCTAAGAATTGTATGAGAGCTTTGTCTCATGTAGATTTTTTTCTAAGGAAAAAATCGGCAAGACAAGCGGAAACATGACATTTTTTTATTTCGGATTTTACGTGGAATTGCTCAGAATGAGATATATAAAAAAACTTAGATGAGAATTTTTCTACTTTCCGTAGATTCAACGATATATATCAATTTCACAGATTCACTTGCGAACATGGTTTTCAACAATATCTCAGGATCGAATCAAAATAACGATTTTTCAGTGAAGATTGTTTTTGTAGTGACAAACGAGATCTGCAAAAAAACGTTATGACCAAAATTCCTCCATCTCCTTTGCATTCCGAGATATTGTCCAAAAAATAATTTTCGGGTTTGAGTGACACATCTTGTTTTACTATTTCATTACTCATTGATTTGTTCAATCAATTGCGCATGAATTTCACATTTTCCCATCTATTTCCTTGATAGTTATAATAAACTAAATACTGTTTTGTTTGTGCTCCGGGCAGGAATGTGTGAATAAGCTTCATGTTTATGAAATAAACAAATATTGATTCAGTGAAATTGAATCTCCCAAATATCATGACCCATCTCAGTACTTGAGACGGAGCATGAGAAAAAATTGTCAAAATTTCAATGTGTGTGCCACACTGATGTAACTTTTCACGTGTTTATTTAGTTCCATTAGTTCCACAAGTTCCTGAATGATTTTATAATTTTTTTGCACTACTGATTCCATGAGAATGGAATTAAAAATTTTCTTGATTCACAGGTTCAACGAAACGCGTATTTTAAGAGCAAAAAAATCGATATCGACAATATGAGGGAAAGCTATACGCGAGGAATTTATCATTTCATGACCTCCAAAAATATGCATTTTTTTCGAAAGAGGAAAAGAACTAAAACAATTTTACTGAAATACTTACAGCCATAGTTCAGACAACAGCATTAGGAAATATTGCCTGTAAGGATTTTGATGAATTTGAATTTTATATTGTCGATATCGGATTTTTTACTTTAAAATACCCATTTCGTTAAACCTCTGTATAAAACAATTCTTGAATTCTCTTTTCCATGGAATCGGCAGTTCAAAAAATTCTGAAATTATTCGGGGATTTGTAGAGTTAAAGTAGTATGGTCGTATGGTCACTCTCCAAAGTGATCGTTGAGTGTCCGTCAAGAAAATTTAAAAAAATTAATCAAAAAACTATGATTTATAATTGAAAATTCTCTTTGTGAATTATAAAATTTATGAATATAAGAATTTATCGATTATTTTTATTATTTTTTACTTATTAGTCAAATAATGTACCTCCTTTGACTAGTGTCGTTTTATGTGTAGCAACGCTGTAACTTGACAGCGTAGGGAAAACGAGATTTGAAATGCCCGCTTGTCCCCACTCCACTAACGTGTCGTTGCCGCATCTACTCGACACGCAATTTTTGAACACCGAGGAGCAGAAATTATTTATAACTAAAGTCCCAAACGGTCAATAATTTTCATCGATGATCGTAAATTTTTTTTTTCGCATTTTTTGGTATTTTTTTTTATAATTTAATCTTGGATTTATCATAAAAATCACCCAAAAATGTGATTTGCCCATAAGACTCTGTGTTAAAATCTAGTTTTTCATTAATTCTTATCAACCATGCTAAACGATCAATGTACCACAAATTGCACCAGGAGGTTTTTATTGATATTAACTTTCATAAAAAAATTATTTCATATTTTAATCTTGGAAATCGATCCGTGGCCATACTACTTTAATAGGACTAGATGCTTGAAAAGTTCCATCAGTGTGGTGCACTGTGAAATTTTTTAAATTTGTTCTCCTGTCCTTCATCAATATAGTGGTGAAAACATGAAACAAAATGTTTCGCTTAAATCTGAAGATTAGTTTTGGGACAGTATCTCGGAATACAAAGGAGATAGAGGAAAGAGAGTAGTCTATACGTTGACAGCAAAAGGTATGAAATTCACGTAAGCACTTGAAACATGCATATTTTATCTTTTTTGATGTGCTGAAATCGAATTTGTCAGTTAGCACGCAATACAGTCATGCAGTCAATTGTTATTAACAATTTAATTATTTAAATGCATTTTACGCCGCCATTTTGATACATATCAAAAAATGCTTCAGGAAAATAATATTCCGTGAAATCCAACGAACAAAATGTATTTTGATTTTTGAAAATTGGTCAATTTTTGCGGAAGATATGACATTTTGCGACAATTGGGCGGGGATGTTACCAGTGATGCGTGGAGTAATCACCAGCATCCAGTTGTTGCAAACTATTATATCTTCTGCAAAAATGGCCAGTTTCCAACAATCAAAATCCATTTGGTTTGTTAGATTTCAAGGAATATCTATTGTTTAAAGCATTTTTTGATATCTATCAAAATGGCGGCGTACAATGAATTGCAATAATAAAATTGTTAATGACTATTGACTGCACGACTGTATTGCGTGCTACTTACAAATTCGATTTCAGCTCATCAAAAAATCTTAAATATGTAAGTTTCAAGTGTTCACATGAATTTCATACCTTTACCTGTCAGCGTATGGACTAGGGGTTTTTACCAAGAAATCACTATTTTGCTTCAGACCTGAGATATTGTAGAAAAACTAACTGGCGGCTGAAGATGATTTTTTGACGGATAACTTTGAATCTCCGGTAGATGAAAAAATTTTCTTAAGAGTTTTGTAGATCTCATCCTACTCTACAAAAAAGCTGTATACAAAAATTTCTTTGTTTTCTTCAGCCTCTGAGATATTTTTGAAAAATTAATTTTTTAAGAGGACGAAATTTTGCTCATCTCTTTATTCCAACTCTGATTTTATTCTAGTCAGTGTTCAAAATCATCAATAATTCAGTAGTGAAGTGGTCAAACGGTTTAAATCAATTCCATTCTAGCGCCAGTTATCGATGAATATCTCAAATCCTAAAGGAGTTAGCAAAATTTTCCTAAAAATCTTTTTTTGAAGAAAAGTGAAGACTATCGAAAAAGATCTTGCAAAAATTTCCCTATCTTTCTTAAATTCCGAGTTATTCAACAAAAACTGAACTGATAGCTAAGTCGACTTAAACCGATTGACCACTTGTCACTACTGAAATGGTGACAGATTCCTAAAAATCAAATATTTTGGTCAGTGTCTAGCTTACGTTTCTAGGTTATTATTTATTCAATCAATCACGGGTTCCCCTAAATTTTCCCAAAAAATGATCCCCGAAAGAATTTAATATCGAGGGACATTTACAATTTCACCCAATTGCATTATGGAGTCGAGTGCCCGCATGAGGGCCATCGAAAATGTATAAAATTTATTTAGACGAGTTCCTTGTATTTGAACAATTATATTCGATGAAAGGAAGTCAGTACCCTTCGTGACGACAAAAGTCCAGGGGCTCCGGGTGGGTATGCCATAGGGGGCTGATGGCCACGTGTCGTCCACGCGAGGGACGCAAGGGAGCTTATACATAAGTCGGATATGACGCTTTTGCGGACCGTGGGAAATACGTGGTTGATTGTGAGGGAGAATCTATCAGTTGATATGTGACTTGTGCACCGTGACGACTAGACCCTGGGACATTTCACTATTGTTACGATAAATTTATAAACCATTGAAACCACATTTCCTCATTTCCCCATAGATTGCACATAACTGTCTTATTCGGACCGAAAAAGTGTAGTTTCTTCGACTGATAAATCAAAATAAAATGTATTCTCGAGCCAAATTAGAGAAATAATTGAGGCAGAAATATACTGTTACAACTCCCCACAAATTTTATGCACTTGCAATGATGATTGGTTATAAGATGCAAATAAATCGAATGAACTCTATCTGTTTACATACATTAGTTGGAGCCAAAGTCCCAAAATGATTAAACCAGGAGGTCAACGGGGGGAACCGTGTAAAGTATTCTCACGCGTCAGTCACGAGACTCTCGAGGCCCTACCAATCTATTATTAAAACCTAAGCACTACGTCAGTTAACTGCATACACATATTCTCTATCAGCTCTATTCGCTTAGTATAGGACAAGTCCCTTTTGCGCCGTAGTACAGCGTACAAACATGAAGGCCTGTGGGAAACTCGGGAGTTTCACACACGAACGAGGCAATAATAAACATGGGAGAACTAGTCCCCCTGCTCAGCTCCCTCGTGCACCCACAGTGCCCTGGCAACCTACTTACTGTGTTTTCTTCCGAGGTAGAGGTTCTTGCTACCAAAACACTATATAATGCGAGTAGAGTGATTAAGGCTGGGAAACACCGGAAAATTTATTAGAAAACGGTTTAACACAGTTTTGGGCGTTTCGCAGGGGTCAAAGCGGGTGTTTCGGAGAATGGTAGATGGTAAAATGAGATAAAAGATTGATCTTACAATACAGCGACCGGCTGAGTCTGTTGTTTCCGTACGATCCGAGTCCGAGGTGTAATTTAGCCCTTCCGTCGGGGCTTTTGATTTTTTACCGCTTTTTCTAATATCATCGGTGCTACTCATAATGTCCTTTTTTCAGGGGAGCAAATGTAGGGGTTAGGAAGTTGTGGGAGACGCTAATTACTTATTCTTCATTTGTTTTCCATTCCAACTTTAAGTTCTTCTCTTTCTTTTACGATTTCGTTAATTATAAGTCCAGTTCTGTACCTTTCCAAATTTTAATTTTGAGACTTTATATGTTTTCTTCAAAATTTTATTGATTTTCTTGTATACAAAAAATGATAATAATAGTTTTTCAGATTTGTGATTTTTTAACAAAATTTTGTATTGTGGAAAACATCGGAGAACAGACAGAAAATCTCCATTCTTTCCATTAAAAAAGGCCTCAGTTAGCAAATACCATAGGAAATGTGCTAAAATCGTCAATAAAATCGATAATTCCGCGTTGTATTTTCTCCTTTAAATTGACTTTCTTCACGAAAATAGAATTTTTCTATTTATTTCAGTAGCGAAGTGGTAAAACGGTTTAAGTCGATTTATCTCCCAGTTGAGTTTTTGGGGAATAATTCCGAATCTAAGGGAAATAGCGAAATTTTCGTTGTAGCTCTCAATCGGCTCTACAAAAAAGGTTATAATAAAAATTTTGCTATCTCCCTTAGATTCCGCGATATTCATTGCAAACTGGGTAATAGTCAAAATTGACTTGTACCGTTTTACCACTTCGTTACTGATTTCAACTAAATTGTTGTCAGAAAATCCTGTATGAAATGAATAATGCATTCATTCCGAATAAAGAATTATTACACGTCATTAAAGGCGCGTCTTTTCGCGGTCTCTGCGCGGCCTCAACAAAGATTCCATTTATGTTAAAAAAACAACGATTTATTTAATATGAATACAGATACAAATAAATTCTAGTTTAAATTCAAGTTTGTGTTATTTCACTCAAATAAAGTTTATTCCATTCCAATGAACCATGTTCCTCGGTGATTTTTGAATAATTAAAAATAAAGTATTGTGAAATAATATCAATATAATAGTAACAGATAACGTGTGTTTGAATATAATTTGTGAACAGTTACTTTGATCAACTCATGGAGAGTTCATTCCATTCACGCTTGAGTTCTTGTTAATCATTGCGTAAGTGAGAAGAGATCTTCAGATTTTCCCTAGACCTTTCCTGTAAAGCAAAATGAGAGTAATACAAGTAGGTCTTCGGAAAACTCCTCCATCTCAGATTCATAGATATTCACCAAAAGCATACCATCAAACAGCTCATCTCGTTCTACCACTTCGTTCCTGTTTTTAGTTTGATTTTCTAAAAAGGACATTTGGTATTTAGTGAATCCTCTTATTTCATTCTTGTCCAGCCGCAGGGACGCTGTCCACTCCTTGTCTGAATCTCGAGTGCACTCGAGCCAAAGGGAAAGACGCCAAAGAAACGCAATACCCAACTAAGCAATCCCGATTTTCCAAGAAATCCACACAACCCGTCCTCATTTAACCTTAAAAGGCTCGACCTTTCTTACAATACTACCTCACTTGACTCCTCTACTCCAGCTTCCCCTTTTATGAAAACCAAAATGAACAAATATCAGGAGGAACAAAGGAATATCTAAAAAAACCTATTTGTGTATGATCATTGATTCATTATTGTTTATTGCCCTAAGTGGGCAAAATTGATCTTGAAGACTTCTTCAGAGTTAATAAAAAATTCTGGTGGTTGAACGATGATGATAAGCGTATGAGAGGATTAAAAATCCGTGAAGAACTATTCAAACAATTGAATAAAAATAAACCTCAAAGTCGTTACAATAGAAATAATTTTCGTCCTCCTTAAAACTTCGAATTGTTGTTAAACTAATCATTAATTGAAAAAGAAGTATTACGATAGTACAAAGACTGCTCCTCATATCAAGTATTAGCTGGATAGGTTTACAATAATTAAAATGCTACTAATGTAACTCATAATTTCATTCGATGATTCACAATAGGTAATTGAAATACAATTACAATCTTTTTATTCTATACTCCTGCAAATATTGTTATGCTTTTTTTTACATTCATGCAAATTCAAAAACATTTTTTTAACCACTAAATATTGATACTGTTTGCAATAAATAACGCATCAATCTCAAAGAGAAATATTATATAATATAAATAATAATTAGATATTAAATAAACTCGAGAGTCTTCCCGGCCAAAAGTTTATACACTCGATTAAATAACGTTTGATAAATTGTTCACCTGTAGAAGAATTCGAATTTTTCAAAAGTTGGAAGAAGCATTTGGAATTAATATGCTGCTGGAAAAGTAAAAATCCGTAAGAAACCGAAAGGTGTACGGTAATGGAAAAGTTAAAAAAGTATTGTTTCTTCTGTGGCAATTATGTCTAATCCCGGCTGAGCGGCGCGGGATTTTTTTCTCTCAATTCTCATTCTCTTTGAATATTTAATGCAAGGAATAAATATTAAATAAATATTTAATTGAATCTCTCGAGAGCAAGAAATGACAATGTCACTCGTATCTTTTATTTTTATTCATTCTCGAAACGATGAGGATCAACCGAGGACCCAAACGAGGCGAACGGTTTTTGAGACAAGCAACTAAAAATAAATGTGCACAAGTATACACCCCTAACAACAAGAATAAGAAAGAAAGAAAAGGGGTATAGTTACTGGGCAGACGAAGAGAACGAGGAGAGGGAGGTGAAACGATCGAGATTCGTGGAGCGATCTCCGCTGGGTTTGCTGTAGAGAGAAGGCAAACCGATAAATCAGACGGGCGCGTGCGACACACCGAGCCAACCCGAAGGTTCTACCTTTTTTATTTCTTCTCTACAAACTCTGCATTATAGAAGGTGAACGTCGGACAGTGAGATGACTCAGCGGGCACTGGGTCTCGAATACCCCAACGGAGAAGGTAGAATTAATATTAATGTCGATGCGTTGACAAAGAGGAGAACGCCGCTGTTTTTGGTCATCACCTTGAGGGTGCATTTCTTGCGCTCGTGCACAGAACAGATAATATCCTTTGGGCTCCAACGATTCGTCCTATCGAATCATATGCATTTCTTGGGATTATTGAGATTGAATATTCTTCTTCACTGATTTTTTTTCCTTTTTCCTCGACTGGGCTTATCGCAGGGAATTTTGAAATGTTTTAAGAGTGAATGCTTTTAGGATAATCACTCTGTTGGCCCCATATGGATTATCATGAAATTCGAGAGGACAACGTTGGTTTTTGTTCTCTTGGTTTTTTTTTCGCTTTAGCTGATCTGTTGTGGCCATGGGCATCAGTTGAGGAGCAGTAAATTCTGGAGGAGAATTATTGTCCCCCGGGGAATATACTAGCGCGCCTCGCCTGTAATCAGACAGTGTCATCCAAGTTGATTTCACGTCGTTTGGTTCTTACAGATTTCAGAAAATTCTCGTGGCCATGTTTTTGCGGAAATAATGTTCAGAAAATTGCGATTGATGAGGGTTAATAAATTTGTTGTATTTTCTCTCCATAATACTATAGATTTCGTCATTAGGCCCACAAAGTATTTTCTGAGCCAAAGGCGAGGATTATAATCACACTCGTCAGAAAATGCTTTCTCGGCCCTATGATGTAAACTATTTTATTTTACGAGTCCGAAAATCCCGACCTAGCCGAGCGAAGGGAGGTGACAGAAATGATAATATTGTTCCTTTTGATTGTAAGAAAAATAAATAAAAGGGAAATCTGACAATTTGAGCGTACAAACACTTCTTTATTTTATCACCGCACGCTGTCTCGCTGCTCCTTTTATCGTCATTGCTCCGCCATCATGTAATGTTGTATATTGCTCCCATGAGTGGGGATAACACTTTTGTTTCTACCGTTATAACGTTGACGATGGCCCTCGGAGGAGGTCATTATCTTTATCAATCTCTGTTCGAGCGTTCACTGGCTCCGGTCATTCGTGACCATCTTTGGACGAGAGTGGACGGGTTTACGGAAGAGGCTTGGGATATATATGTATGTATACATGTTGATGGGACGACTGTTGAAGAGAGAGAGGTATAGCACCCAAGGGCCCCCTGCTGTTGGATAACGCTTTACGTTTTAACTGACTCGTCTCCTTCGGTGGCTTCCATTCCACCTTTTATACCGACTCTCTCGTATACGAACGAGATACTTAAAACCCGCACGCGCTACGGCTTCTCTTGTATCATTGCCTACCATGGTTAAATCATATTAAATCTTGTCACGTTCTAAGTAGACAAAGTTTCTTTCATGGATTGATAAAAAGATGAATAAATGAGGTTGAGGGACAATACGAGATTAAGAATTCATCTCACGTGTAGTTTTGTGACACGGGAGGAATATCATCACTGGGATGATTTTTACAGCATTCCATACATATTCTAGAGCAGTAAAGAACTGGTTTAGTTGATGTTTGTTGTTGAATCAAGTTTTAATTTTTCTGATTATCTCGTCAATTAATGATCCCCATAGAAGAATCTACGTAAAATATACATGATGTGGGTGAATTTCAAACATACAACAAATTTCTCAAAAAATTCTCATTCATCCTCTTCCATTTATACCCGTCAGCACTCGCGCTATATCATTTCGCGTTTGTTCGCTCTTGCAAAAATTTTCAGGGTATAGGGAACATAGTCAAAAAATTGAGATGTTGAACTGAAAAAGTTCGTGATTGCTTCAAGCAATTATCATTTTTTTTTCTGGGGTCAATAAAAATCGTCTAGCATGTTTCAATAAATTGTAAAAAAATATTTTATCAAGCTCGACCGAGGGGATATGAGAGATTCTCTCACGGCGCGACTAAAGCCCGTCGGGTGGATCGCTCGCATCGAGCGGTTCCGTGAAGCGTTCGATAATACTCGACAACTACACCAGTCCCATGGATAGCTCGGACCTCTCTATCTAATTAGTATGCGTGTAATGCGCAAGAGATTCTCTCACGGCGAGACTGAAGGTTTTCGGTGAAATGCCGTGAGTGCTGGCGGATTAACCCTCGACACTCGCTCAATGAGCCTGGCGCCGTCCGCTTTCGTTTTTTTATATTTTAGCGT